CCTTATTACAAAATTTCTTAACCTTTCACCACACTGCTACCAGAAAGGTGACATCCGTGATTGTCCCGTCTTCCTCAAGACCTTATCCCTTTCTGATGCTGAGAAAATTCCAGAGGAGCATATTAAAAAATTGAGCTCAGGTAAATGAAGAGTATAGATGTCTCTCAACACCAGCCGTGGCCCTCCACACACGCTGCCGGTGCTCTCACCACGTGGCTTCCATGCCGTCCTTTTACTGAGCTGATAGAGACGGTACAGGTAGTGGCCACGAAGTGTCAGCTGTGTGATGCCTATGGTGTTCTGTTCTGTCGGAGGCTCGACCCCAGTCCCTCTAAGTACCGTGAGGGGACCTGAGGAATGGCTGAAGATAGCCTGGGAGAGAGACGAGTAAACCAAGATGCCAGAATTGCCTTCCAATATTTGAAAACCTCAGGAGAGAAGAAGTAGTTGTTTGCCAAGGAGGAGCCACTGGGGACAATGTCAAGTTAGGAACCCAAAGGACTTCGTGACCCCAGAAGAGTGGACCACTTTGGGAGACAGCGAATGCTCTGAGAAGTGTGGAACCAAAGACCGTTCAACAAAGCCCTTGGAGGTGGAGAGCTGCTGGTCATTCTGTGTGGCAGTGGCCTTCACGGTCATTGAGGTTCCGTGCAGTTGTGAGCGCCTAAGACTTTTACGTGGTCTTGTTTATTGTCAGATACCCGTTGACGTGACACAGCCATTCGGCATTCTTTTTCTCTGGCATCGTGTTAGAAATCTATAAGGAAGCTCTCCCGTCACAGAATATTCCTGACCTCTGAGATTCTGTGTCTTCGGTGATTAATGTAAATGTGACCCCCTATGAGCAGCCTTTAATCGGCGCTCTGTGTGTGCCAGGTCATGAGGCTGCTGTGAAGGACTGTTTTAATGTCCCCTGAGGGAGCCTAAGCAGTCATTGAAGAAATTTAGTGCATGGGGATCTGGGCTTCTGAGCCCCTTTGTCATGTGGCTTAGAGAGTGCTTTACACCTTAAAATTAAATACAGTGACTATGCCCTGGCCAGTGTGGCTCAGTTGGTTGGAGCAGCGTCCCATAAAACAGAAGGTCACGGGTTTGATTCCTGGTCAGGGCATGTACCTACATTGCAGGCTGAGTCCCAGGTAGGAGAGTGTACGGGAGGCAACCAATTGATGTTTCTCTCTCTCCCCCTCCCTTCCCTGCCCCCCACCCTCAGAAAGAAAGAAAGAAAGAAAGAAAGAAAGAAAGAAAGAAAGAAAGAAACTATATGAGGTTCTTTCTGCTAACTTTATGCCCACCACAGTCTTATCAGCTATACATTTTGAACCAAATGGTGTATGTTCTACCAATTAAAAAATTTTAATAGGAATCTTCCAGTGTGGTTGACACCCAGCATTAGTGCAGGCCATCTGAAAGCCAGAGAAATTGATTTAGTAAATTGGCGACCAGCTGAGTGCCACATTTATTTAATTTAGAGCAATAAATAAGACAGTGAAAAAAATTTTTTTGCAATTAGGTAAGGTGATGAATATTAACTAGACTTACTACAGTGATTATTTTGCAGTATCTACAAATACTGAATCATTTGGTTGTACACCTGAAACGAATGTTATATTATTAATTTTACCTCAATGTTAAACAGGAAAGAATTCTAATAATAAACTAGAGAAACTTCAAACAATGGCAGTGAAGTGGCAGCTCCCCAGGACCCACTCAGCTGGGTGGCGTGTTCTGCGGAGTTGCCCAGGCTGGGAGGGAGCGCCTATGAGGGCACGAGAGGCCGCGACTCCACTGGGGGCTCGCTGCTTTCCAGCTGGGTCTGCTCCTCCACCGCTCCACAGAGTCTGGTCAACCCCTCACTCACAGAACCTCTGCCCTGCAAGCAGTTATCTGTAGGCGTTGTCCTGGCAACAGAGGAAAGCACCCCCCTAAAGCCGCTGCCTGTATTTCGGGAGACCGCAGTCTCCACCGTTTGGCCTTGTCCTGCGCTTCTCTCCTCACCATCCCTGTTACCATCACAGTAACATCTGTTACTTATTATGTGCTCTGCAGTGGGCTAGTGCTTTACCTGCTTTATCCTACTAATCCCCTAATGGTCTTAGGAAGTAAACGCTATTATCATCCCCATCCACAAATGAGGAAACTGCGTCATCATACACTTGCCCCTGGTCACACGGCGAGGGAGGGATGGAGCTGGGGAGAGTCCAGGGCTGGTGCTGGAGCCCACACTGCTGGTCACTCTGCGGGGCTGCCCACCATTTCAGCGCAATCGAACCCTTTAAATCAAAGAGCTGAGTGTGTTCCACAGCCGTTATTAGAACATTCAGTACCTGTTGACCTGTGACCTCTGTCTTATGTAGACGGAAGCACCACAATGTGTGTGTTTTTAAACAGAGTGTTTATTTGTGCTATGACTGTGAACATGCTCGAAGTCTACTGCTCAACACCACAACCTCAGACCGTTTCAGCGGCAGCCTACGGGAAGGTTCGGTCATCCTCACGGCTGTGAATGGAAAGAAGCCAGCCAATAATGCGCCTATGGTTCCCGTGATACTAAGTGGGCCACTCTTGAATCCTAAAATCTCTAAAAAATCCAGACCCATGGAATTCAATAATATACCAGGCCATTTGAGAAGTATGTCTCGTCATTCTTCCTGCCCTTCTGAAACAAAGTATATTGAAGGAGATGGGGGAGATACTATTCAGATGTGATGTCCATCACCAGTAATTTAGATGGCACTTTCCTCATTTGTAGGAGGTCATTTGTACATTCTGTGCTCAACACCTGATGAACTGTTTTGCTGTATGTATTAGTGGGTGTTTTAAATTGAATTCATTGGGGTGGCATTGGTTAATAAAACCATACAGGTTTCAAGTATAGGACTCAATACCACAGCATCTGCATACTGCACTGTGTGCTCAGCACCCAAGGTCAAGTCTCCTCTGCCACCGTTTAGCCCCACTTGGCCCTCTCCCCCCTCTGCCCACCCCCCTTCCCACTGGCAGTCACCATCCTATTGTCTGTGTCTGTGTGGTTTTTCGATCCCTTCACTTTTTTCACCCAGCTCCCCGAGTACCCTCCCCTCTGACAGCTTCTCTCCTATGTATTTATGGTTCTGTTTCTATTTTGTTGTTACCTTATTTTGTTCGTTAGAATCCACATGTAAGTGAAGTCAACCCTGTGGTATTTGTCTTGCTCTGACCAGCTTATTTCACTTAGCCTAATACTCTCGAGGTCCATCCATGCTGTTGCAAAAGTAAAATTTCTCCTACTGCTGAGTAGTATTCCATTGTGTAAATGTACCACGGCTTTTTTATCCACTCATCTGTTGAAGGGCACTTGGGCTGTTTAAACATCAGTGCCGGCATCCGAGTGCCTAATAGTGCTAAGCTCCCACTGTACCTGAATACTCACTGAAGTGAGCAGAGTGGCTGGCTGCCGGGTTAGAGGTGGGGTGTTCTGGGTCAAGCAGCTGGAAAGACTAACAAGGAAGAGGGTAGGTAACACCTTATGTATTTTGAAATAATTTCAAACTTATCAACAAGTTATAAGAATAATACAAATAACTCCTATATGTATGTTACCCAAATTCACCATTTTTAATATTCTGCCACACATATTTTACCTCTTTCTACACATATCCACATGCACGTGTGCTTATTTTTCTGAGCTGCGAGAGTAGGAATCCTATGTCATGCCTCTTTTATGCATTTATATCTAAGAGTACATTTCCTAAGAATAGGGGTATTCTTAACCACAGTGGAGTTATGAAATCCAGGAAATTTAGCATTGAAACAGTGCTGTTACCTCTTCTGCTTCCTTACTCAAATGTGGTCAGTTATCCCAGGAATGTCCTTTGATAGCACGTTCCCCTTTCAGTACAGGATCTAGTTCACCGGTGGCAAACACAAGGCCCGAGGGCCGAATCCGGCCCTCCACCTTGTTTTATCCGGTCCGGCACCTTGTTTCTACCTGGTGGCAATGCCGAGCTCCTTGCCCCTAGTTAAGGAGGAGTTACATTTACACAGTCCGAACACTACATTCAGCCCTTTGAAGGTAACCTTGAGGCTGATGTGGCCCCGTTGAAAATGAGTTCGACACCCCTGAGTTCTAGTCCATCAAGTACTGCATGTAATTGTCATGCTCGTTTAGTCCCCTTTAATTGGTAACAGTCCCTCGGCCTTTCTTTTGCTTTAATGAAATTGATACATAGGCCAAGTTTTGAAAATAGGATGTTCCTTATTTGGGGTCATCTGATGTTTTCTTGTGATCATGCTCAGATTGTCCGTCCCTGGCTGGCGTACAACAAGAATGACGGTGTGTCTTTTTCAGGGTGTTTTACCCCCATGTAACACAAAGCCCATCTGACTCATTGGTGATTAATTTTGGTCACCTAGTTAAGGTGCTGTTTAGTTCCCCTACTACATTGTTACTATTTTTACCCTGAGAACCAAATAGCCTTGTTTTCAAACATTTCCAGTCTTAAAAGCAAAACTCAACATTAATAAGAATCCAGAAGTATAGTCCTTTCAAGTGTCAAAATGTCCTGGTGATAAGTCATACAATTATGGAATTTTATAGTGGGTAGGTGCTTTGGAATTGACAAATGTGATTTTAAAAAGTTGAATAGACTTTATTTTCTTAGAGCAATTTTAGGTTCACAGCAGAATTGAGCTTATAAAGCACAGGACCAGCATATACAACCCCCCACTCACACCTACAGCCTCTCCCACTACCAGCGTCCCACCAGAGCGGTCCATTTGTTCCGATCAACACCCCTGCACTGAAACGTCATTGTCACCCAGAGTCCGTAGGTTACCTTAGGGTGCCCTCTCGGTGCTGTGCATTCCAGATGTGTGTTTCAACAGTCAATGTAGAGTGTGCCTTTCCCGTGCTCAAGATATTCAGGGCTGTTACTTTTCTAAGAAATACCTCTCTCAGTGTCTCGTTCTTAATCACGCCTCTTCCTTCATTCCTTCTCATAATGATTATATCTTTATAGTTTACTTCACTTTAAGGTCAGCTTTCAACACCATATCCGCGGAGAGAGAGAAGCTGAAGCAGCTGCTGGAGCAGGATGTCTCGTCCCCGTCGGCCCAGGTCGTGGGCCTGAAGCGCGCCCTGTCCTCCGTAAGTGCCCCGCCTGTGCTCGGACACACCTGACCACGGGTTCTGGCTCATGAATTTCCCGCACTTTCCACCTCCACGCTTGTGCTGAAAATTCATGAGAAAACCAAACAAATGATCTAAATGACATTCTATCTAGCCTTTCATCAGATCTTCTTAAAGACCCAAACTAAGCCCACCCCAAATCCTAGGAGCTAGTATTTCATTGAGCATAAGATACTTCAGGTTTGGTTTCCTCTCTTTGTCTTGATTCTTCTGTTTCTGGAAAGCTTTTGTTGTGTGTTTGTGTGCGTCTGACAGACACTGGTTTGCTAATGCTTACCAAAAATCTGACAGTTGGGAGATTTCTGCATGTAAGACTTCACAAGCTTTGATTGACTTTCCAAATAACAGGCCGTAGAGCAAAATTTTAAATTCCCTCTGATCTTCTCTGCTGCACAGCACCGATTCTGGCTCCCATTCTTTCAGAGGCGTGAAAATTACAGTGGTACCTCGGTGCTTGCCGTTAATTCATTCTGGAACTTGTGATGAGCACCCAACAAATTTTTGCCATAAAAAATGTTCTTTCACGGGATGTCATCATGACTCATACAAGTTCCAGCACGTGCGATGAGCCCTGAGCAAGTGCCGAGTGCTGAAACTTTTTTTCTCGTCAAAATGTGGCGAGTACCAGGTTTGACAAGGGCTGAAGCCGACGAGTACTGGGGTGTGATTGTATTTGATTTGATTTGATTTGATTGATAGTACGGAACACTTAGCTCCCCCACCCGCCGTCCCGCCCATGGGCAGAGAGAGATGAGCCCTTGCCCTGAAGGTCATCGTCTGCCTGTGTGACAGCAGGAGAACCCCTGTCCAGCGCCAGATGTTCCCCAGGGAGCCGCTCCATCTTTCACTCCCCGTCTCTCCTTGTTGTCATCTGCTCCAGCTCATCCTTCAGAGGAGTTAGGCTTCCGTGAAGGGCTCCTAGAACCCTTCCTTCGAATGGCTGATGTTGTCTGGCTGCTCCCTTTGTATCTACAAAAAGCTAGAGAACTTTTAAAATCGCATACTTATTTGCTCCTGCTTTTGTTCTGCTTTGGATTTCCTGTGGTAAAAGGAGAATGTGTGTGCACCTGTGAAATTATCATCTGCAGAAATACTAAACTTGCTATTTAGGCTTAGGGAGGGGCCACGAATTCTAGGATCTTGTTTTCAGAAGCCAGCTGAGAGAGCGGGAACATATCCACTCATGTTCCCTGTCACCATGCTGGAGCAACGTTCATGGTAAATGCATCGCCAGTAGTACCTAATAAAACACGTCAGGAATAGTCACTTGGTTGAACATTCCACGAATGTTACCTTTGAAAGAAACAAGAAATAATGTGGACCGACCTCATGTGTAGAGTCTTAATGACGTCTGCCTTGAGGAGCTCTGGGGGGGTCCTCAAGGTCAGAGATAGAAACGCCGCCTTTTGGACTGTAGTGGCCAGCCTCACACGGGGCGTTCACTTGGTTTGAGAGAAGCAAGGTGGTGCTTTTTTTTAAAGTTTATTTACTGGTAAAAAAAAGCATTTATTATTGTTCCCAGGTTGCTTTCAGTGCTTTTAGAAGGTGGCTCCCTCTTATGGGCTCTCCAAGTCCCTTTCATTGTGGTCGTCCTCTCCCTGCCCTCTCCCCGTGGGGCTCTGGCCTCTCCCCGTGGAGCTCTGTCCTCTTCCTGTGGAGCTCTGGCCTCCTCCCCGTGGAGCCTGGCCTCCTCTAGGTAATCTGCTGGGCTGGTGGGGCCATTGAGACGCGTTTGGCCATGGTAGCCCAGGCCAAAGGTGGCATTACCTTCGCCAAAGGGTTCCTTGTCACCCCTGTTCAGGATCATGGAAGCTTAAGCTGCATCAGAAGATTCTTTCCTTTTTGTCTTGGACCCCCGATAGAGTCATCTTGGGGCTCTCAGACTGGATATGTTGTGCTGTACGTGCAGTCTTGACATTTTTCTTTTTCTGCCTGTAGCTTGCAAAGGAAAAAGAAGCTAGTAAACTCACTCATTTTTGAAGCCATAGTAAGATTCTAGCCACGGGTATGGATTCTAGCCACTTATACTAAGATACCAGCGACACACTGGCCAGAATACAGTGTAGAGATTGTTGCTACTTGTAACAATCTCTGTTCTGTGTGTTTAAGAAACTTTTTTACTCAGGGTTTCCTAAATGATTTTCGAGAATTTCCAAATAACCCATTCCATCCACAGGCACTAACAAATAAAACCAAGATCCTTGCTTGAGACCCTGGATTAGACAGGGCCACAGGCTTCTGTTTCTCGGCAGGGGACCTGTGTGTGGGCCCTGGTGGGTGGGAGGCCCCGAGGCACCTGGGAGAGCGTGGGGAAGACGGGCGGGGTGGGTCTGTGTGCAGGCAGCGAGGAGCTGATCATGAGAGTGTCTGCGGAACTTGTTCCTTTCCCAAGACAGAGCGCTTGGAGAAGGGTTGGTCAAGAAGCATGAAGGCAACATCTTCCTTTGCTGCCAGGCCAGTTCCTCCCTGGGTGGGCTGTTGGGGTAGGAAATCAGCCCAGCCCAGCGGGGGATAAGAGAGGCCAGGGGTGGGCGTCCATGTGTTCCCATCTCGCCCCTGCCCCCCATGGCCAGGGCCCTGGCTCTTAGCCCTGATCCAGGTAAGTGAGTTGTCTTATTTTTTAAATCAAATATCTTAATCATAAAGAATGAATACAATAATCAGCGCTTATACTGGGGAACAATAAAATTAACCCTCCACAAAATTCTACTTTCTAAGATTCAATTCAACTGGTGTGATAATTAAATAACATTAAAATATGGCCAATCATAAGGGGTGAGAGCTGCATCTTTTTTTAAAGATGAAGGAAGCTTGGAATCATTTGGGAGCAACTTCCACAAAGAGACTACAGTAGCCCTCTGTATCCACAGCTTCCACATCCACGGATTTAACCAACCAAGGATAGAAAATATTCTTTCAAAAAAATGTCACATTGCCGCTGAAGTGTACTGTGTAGTTGGGCCTATGATGGTCATGGTGGTTGTGATGGCTGGGTCTGTACTGAACATATACAGACTTCTTTTCTTCTCATTATTCCCTAAACAACACAGTATACCTCAGTATACCTGTGTACTATTTACACAGCATTTATATTATATTTAGTATTATAAGTAATCTGGAGATGCTTTAAAGTATATGAGAAGATTTTATAAAAGGGACCTGAGCATCCGTGGATTTGGGTATCAGTGGGGACCTAGAGCCAGCCCCCTGTGGACACAGCTGGGAAACTGCTGATCAGCAGAGGAGCTGAAGGTGTTTGTGATTTCCTTCCCCGTCAAAAAGAAAGCCTTCCTAACAGCCCCTCCTCCCGTCTCTGGAAATGGGACTAGAGAAGGGCCACTGCTTCCAGAGTTTTCTTTCATTTCCCAGGCATCTCAGAACCGGTGTCCTGTTGGGCGGCACTCCGGGAGAGAAGCCCACCAGGACGTGCCCCCTCAGGGCCCCCGCACGGGGCCCACTGCGGCGCTTTTCTGAAACGCTATTTTTAACGTGTTCCAGGCCCTAGCACAAAACACAGACCTTAAAGAACGCTTATGCAGAATCCATGCCGAGTCTCTGCTGCTCGACCCCCCGGCTGCTGCCAGGTCGGCGGACAGTCTGGCAGAGGTGGGTAAGGCTTCTCCTCCGGTGGCGTCTCCGTGGTCCCCTTGCCTCCCCCCCAGAGGGGGGCTCGCACCCACCGCCGCACCCACAGCGGCCCGGGTGCCAGGCCCTCCTGACTCTGCTGCTACCTGCATGTTAAAGACTGTTTCCCCCCAGAACTCTTCTTCCCTTCGTGTTTCTTTCCCCCATTTTTCTCCTAAGTACCCCCCCGCCCCATTCCACTAGGTGTGACTGCCACGGGAACTGTGGAGAGATGAACATTTTCTCTTCTTCTGAAAAACCCCGATGTCCCTGACCTGAGCCTCCCAGTTCCCCGCCGGCGTCTGTGCTTCCTCTGTGCGGCCCCCTCTCTCTCTTCTTGGCCGTTCCCTTCTTCCTTTCCCGTGATTTTTTCCTTTTCTTTCCTTTTAAAAGCACAGCCTTACCCAATGAGGGAAAAAAGACTCTTACTACAATTGAAGGGTTTTGGCCAGTTAATAGTACCTTAAAAATGTCTCTTCTCAAGACTTGAGGTGTTCGTCTAAAATACTCTTTGTGTTTGCAATGAGAAATTTCAGAAAAATACAAATGAATTGCTTGAGAAATGGAAAAGGGTAATTAGGGTTAAAACTGTTTTTTAGCTATCTCTTGTGTTTATATGCCTGCCTCAGATATGCTAAATATTTTATTCACACATTTATTAGACTGAGTGCATCTCAAATAAAAAATAAAGAAGGTAACATACAAGGTGCATGTGTGTACATTTAAAAGGAATTTCTAATACCTAATCCATCTTTCTCCCTTTCCTGTCCTCAAAGAAAACAAAACCTCACACAATCCCTTCGCTCCCTGGGAGGCTGCGGTGTGACAATAAGGGGAGGCTAAAGTCGGTCGGGGCCCAGCCTGCCACGCCCAGGGGCCCAGAGGCCGAGAGGCCTTCAGGGCCGTTTGGAGCACAGGCGGCAGCTTGCTGGCAGGTGGGACTCTCTCTTCTGCTGACAGCGTGCCTTCTCTCCACGGAGCTCACAGGCCCTTTACTACACCTGAGACCAAGCTTTGGTCACCTGTGAACTCTACACATTCGCTCCCCCCAAGAGATCTTCTCAGTCATTCTGGCCCAGGCTGAGACGGAGTCTCCCGCAGGCTTGAGCACCTCTGCGTTACCTGGGGCGGCCTTCGCTGTCAGCCTGCACCAGGAAAACACGGGATCAAAGAGGCTCAGAAATCAAGGGGAGGGAGACGAGTGGTTCAGTCAGTTAGGTGGGCACAGCACGAAAGCAGTTTGGGGAGGGGTTTGCATCTCCCATTGCACATGAAAATGAATCGCCAGTGAATTAGAGTTAAATATAAAAATTCAAACGGAAAAGTATTGATTTAAATATTTATCAAAGGGCTTAGAGTAGGGAGGCCTTCCTAACTCTGGAAGCAATAGGAACAATGACAAAAGAAATGTTAACTGGATCTGGCTATTGTTGTTCCTCGGGGGGAGAAATGGTGTGTGTGAAAAAATAATGCATGTGATAGAATAGGAAAAATGTTTTCAGTGAAAAATGACAAACTCAGCTAATGCTAAGGAGGTGGTAATGTATGTCATGTTTAAATCATTAATAAATAATAGCAAGCAGCTTAAGACCTCAACAAGTAAATGGGAAAAGAGAAACAATTCATCAAAACCCCTAAATACAGATAATTTTTTGAAAACTTTTTATTTAGTAATACTTATAAATTCATAGGTAATTGTAAAGAAATGCAGAGGGAGGGCTCAGGTACCCTGACGTAGCCTCCTCCAAAGTTAACATCTCAACATGTAGTTTTTTAAAAGGAAAAAAGTTCGACCTAAATCTTAACAGACAAATGTCAATTAAAATAATTAGATTAGCACACAATATGTCTAAAGTATTTGGTGCCCTTATAGGTATAGAGAAAATAGAGGTTCTCTTACTTGTTGATGTAATTAGGTAGTGTGTATTTTGACTTAAACATCTTAAATAATTCTTCTGAGAACTGATTTTAAGGAATAATGAAATGTAATCAAAGACGCATTTGCAAACACGTTCTCCATCTTTACAAATTTGGAAACGCCCTCAATTTCCAATCAAGGAATTGGTTCTCTGTGGCACACAATTAACGTAAAATGATGTCTATCAACTGAAGCTTATTGTCTCCAAGAACTCTTAACGGCCTGGGGAAAAGATCCCAATGTAATGTTAAGTGAATATGGCAGACTACCCAAGACTTTGTACAGTGCAATCCCAATTCTTCAAACTTCAAAAAAATCCATATACAAATATTTTAATACAAAAATATACCAGCAGATCAATAGGAGCCACATCTGGGTGATGAAACTTGATGGGATGCTTATTTGCTTTTTGTATGTCCTATTTTGAACACGTTACTTTTATCTTCAGAAGAAATGTTAATTTTGAAAAGAGTGATTATGCCGCAGTGTTGTTTGGGGGAAGTTTATAAAATTAGGTAGGATATTTCAAAGGCAGTTATTTCAAAGCAAAACTACATGTATAAAAAGGATTGTAGAGAAACGTATGAAAACAGTCCCAGTGGCGGCTTTAACGTGCCGAGACTGTGTGTTCCCTCCCCTCCCTTCTCTCCATGTACTTGCGCTTTCGTAGTGTAAAAAGTAGATAAACAACTGCTCCTGCCTTGCAGACTTCAGGGGATGTTATTTAATTGAACTGACTAGATTAATATTTTTTTTACTGTTGTTCAAGTACAGTTGTGTCCAGATTAATATTTTAACACATGAGGTCCTGTGTTGTACAAGACCCTGTGAGATCAGTAGGCATTTATAGGAAGCAGCCAAGAAATCTTTCTGACGCATCAGTCTGGGCGAAAGGCAGAGAGAGCGTGAGTGGCTGGTGATAAATTAATGAGTAGAACGGGTAAATAAATCATGAGAGTCTTCTGTGGCAGTGGCTCACCAGAGACAGGACGACCCCGCTGCTTCGGCAAGCGTTCGGGGAGCTCCGTTACTCACCCTGGCGTCTCCCCTTGTGAGGGGGGAGGCCTTGGGTTTGCAGGTGGCAGCAGAGGTGCGTCATTTACAGGTCCTACAGTGATCCTTTACTCGGGTAGAGAAGAAGCCTGCGTTTCAGAAAGCTGTATGGAAAGCTCTGGCTGCAGTGGCTCAGTGCACTGAGCGCCTGCCTGCGAACCAAAGGGTCACTGGTTTGATTCCCAGTCAGGGCACGTGCCTGGGTTGTGGGCCAGGTCAGGTCCCCAGTAGGGGGCACATGAGGGGCCAACCACACACTGATGTTTCTCTTCCTCTTTCTCTCCCGTCCCCCTCTGTCTAAAATAAATAAATAAAATTGTTAAAAGAAAAAGGAAAGCTGGGGTGCATATTAAAATGGGTAGGGTCTTTCAGCGAATACCTTGGGCCAGCTGTCATAGGAAGAATCCAAGAGCAAAGGAGACACATTTAAATGTGTCCCTGGAGTAAACATTTCATAAAGAGACCACTTGCCCTTTATTAATTATGAAAACCTGCTGTGGCCCTCCTGTTTTAGCATCCCCATCACGGGTATAATTTGTTTATGAGGCTGAGAAGCGTGTTCTAAACTTGTAACACTTCTGGGAAAGACATAGAAACAGCTCCTTTGTCAGCCCAGTGAGAAACGGGAACTAATGGGAAGTCCAGGGCAACTATCTTCTCCATTTGGTAGAAATCAAATCCTCATGTCCTGAGTCTGTGCTCATTCCTCAAGGTCAAGTCAGGTGTCACCTCTTCTGGGAAGCCCTCTCCACACACCGAGAGTCCCCCGACAGACTCAATCTCACCTTCGTCTTCACTTCTAGAATCCTTATGCTCCATGGTCTTGGTCTTGTGTACTGGATGCGTCCTCTGCCACGCTCATTCAGGCCAGAAACCTGGGCTTACCCATCATCGTGTCCCTCCATGGCCAGCGCAAAGCAGTTGCTAAATTTGTTGAGGCAAATAGAATTTTCACTTACAACTTGAATAGAAAGCAACATTCTCTAGTGCACAGGTGGCAAACACAAGGCCCGAGGGCCAAATCCAGCCCTCCGCCTTGTTTTATCTGGCCCGGCACCTTGTTTCTACCCAGCAGCAGCACTGACCTGTTGCTTAATTGTTAAGGAGTAGTTGCATTTATACAGTTCTAAAATTACATTCGGCTCTTTGAAGGCAACCATGAGGCTGATGTGGCCCCCAGTGACAATGGGTTTGACACCCCTGCCCTAGTGGAGAAGTCTAGAGCCTAGACCCAGTGAGGAAGGGGATGGAGAGCCAGGCCAGATGAGAAAATCGCGATATTCTATTGTGTTATTTGTGCGTAGCGGCTTCTGAAGGGGACCGGGAATTTCCTTCCCTCGAAGAGTCATTGTGGTTGGAGAGAGACAGAAAAGAATTTATTTCCTTCATCCATGAATAATGAATGATCTGCCACCAGGGGCACTTCTGGACCAAAACACACTGTTCATTTGCCAACGGATAGCTCAAAAGCAGCGTATTGGCTCAGTGAGCACGTGCGGCCGAAGAAAGCTACATCGCTCTGAACCAGCCGCACAAACACATGCGTTCAGTACAATTCAGAGGAAATTTCAAACATCCTGCAGTGGCAGAAAATAAGAGGATGTGATTCAGAGAGCGTTGGGATTCTTTTCTCTGACGTGGGACAAAGACTGACTTGGACAGTCTTTCTCTGCCTCGAGTTTGCTCATGTGCCTGAGCAGCCGGCGATGTGCCCGTACGTGAGGTGCCCGTTTGGAGGAGACCTTCACTTTTCACTTTATTTTGTGTGAGGCTTGTTTCTCCTCCACTCTGGAGCTAACCTCTGCTTCGAGCTGCTTGTTCGCATGGGCCTGTGACCTTGCCTATCATGCAACAGAATCCGTTGTTTATTTTGCTGCTCTTGAGACTGTTTCTAAATATATGTATTTTTTGTTTTTGTGTTCAATAGGAAAACTCCACAGATGACAACCGACCTCTGGTCCATCAGCTTTCCAATGAGAGCCGACTCTCCATCACTGACTCCCTTTCAGAGTTTTTTGATGCACAGGAAGTTCTGTTATCTCCAAGCTCTTCAGAAAATGAGGTTTGAGCACTGCTTCCGGTTAGGGGCCCCAGAATCTCTCTTGTTGCTTTACCCATTCTCTTGATGCCCATATTTAGAAACACTAAACTCCATTGCTGCTTTCTACTATTATATTCTGAGGATCTTCTTATAACTCATACCCCTCCCAAAACACAAAAGAATACAGGATCTTAGAGAAAAAAGTTTGTAAAAGTAGGTATTGGGCACTTCCTTATTTCTGTTACCTGATTTGTTATCCCTCTTTTCAATTACATGCTAATCATTTTGACTCTTAGCTATTTGATAATGAACTACTTCTATTACAGGGCCAGAAATTAGCATCTTGTATTTTTTTATCATTGAATTTGACCTATATTAATTTACAGCACACTATTATTATGTTGTTATACTGTTGTAATGTGGTTATTATAATAATTTTAATATATAACAATATTGTTTTAAGTTGATGCATAAAAACATGCTTTCCTGAATAGGTGGTGTCATAGTTGCCATTGCTGTGTATGAGTGTGTACTGGTAATTTTACCCCTTCAGTATAGATGCACTAATTTTGTTTATTAATTTCTATAGAAGATTCTTTTTGCACAAAGAGTTCAAAGACGAATTGTAACTCATTCTACCCAAGCACTAAAAAATTCTGAAAATGCAGCCTGAATTAATAAGAATTGTAGCAACACCTAATATGTTGAGTTTACCTGTGTTTTCCTTGTGAGAACAAGTCAAGAAAGTTCAAGGATTTTAATAACAGGTGTTCACTGTGAACACCTCCTGTGCAGACAGGTGTGTGGGCCTGAATAAAAAGAGCATCCAAAATTAGGTCTCTAGGTTTGCAATATGGGATTCAAGCTGTTTGATGATTAGTAAATGTGTTATGGAAATCTGGCTTATTTACTCTCACTCTAAGGCTTATTATTTCTTCTTTCTCATAGGTTTCTGAGGATGATTCGTATGTCAGTGACATAAGTGATAACCTTTCCGTGGATAATCTCAGTAATGATTTAGATAGTGAGAGACAAACTGTGGGTAAGATTTAAATTATTTGATCTCTAAAAGCTTGGATCTTTTTGGATTACTAATAAACATATGCCAGTTCTATAAACTTAAAGATTAATGCAACAGATATCTCTTACATGGTCATTCTTTCTGCAAACATATTAGAATATAACTTTTTGTCTTGAGTTTCTAGTGGTGTTTATAATTTAGGAATTCTATAGGGCTTATATAGTAAACGTTCTCTTGTGAGTAGTAATTTAGATTCAGATCCTTTCAGATAACACATATAAAAATAATGAACTTACATCTCCAAGAAGTGGGGGCCCTCAAGTTACCCTAAGATGTTCATTTATTACTGGTTGATCCCAGGAGTAGGAATGAAGCCCAGGAAATGTTGTTTGAACCACAGGGTACCTAGAGTGTCTGGCTATTCCCAAACAGCTCTGATTTAGCAGTTCTGTGAGCAGACTGAAGTCTGTTTAGCAAGGTGCCCTTATGAGGGATCTGTCTATTGGACAGTTCTCTGCAAGAGCACCGTAGCATCATATACTTCCAGTCTTGGCACGCTGTGTGCCTTGCATATCTCGGTTTGTCTGAGCCATGCATTGGATCCCAAGAGCACCACCTGTTTTCTCATCTACAAGGAGGACAGGGACTGGGTCAGGTCCTTCTTGATATTTCAGTGCTTCCCGGCTCAGCAAGCATGTGTGAAATATGAGGATTTTGAGTTGTTATCTGAATGCCCATGAGTCTACTCTTTGGGGACCACAAGAAAGGCAGGTCATTTGACCACCCTCTGGAAGAACATCCTTCTAGCATTCCACTTGCTGGAAGTCAGACGCTCATTAGGCTCTATCTTGCTTGAAATGTTTCTGGAAAGATGAATGTTTTGGTGGGAAAGTCTAAGAATCAATCAATGGTTCAAAGCAGAAGACTGATACCATTAGGAGCTACTTGCTTTCTAGAAAAACAAGGTGAATTGAAAGAAAAATAAAGAAACATCACTTAGTCCCTTGCCATATAGTACACTGTGGATAACGAAGACCAACAACTGAAGAAGTCCTCTTTGAGCCCTTAGGAAGGGGGCCAAGGGTTCAGAGGTCAGAGTTGAGAACAGGGGACTTGCCCTCAAACCTAAAACCACAGCTGTGCTGAGTTGACACCAGCCAGGAACAACATGTCAGAGGTTAAGGTTGGTTTTCTCTACCTCATCCACAGCCATTTTACTAGGATGCTGACCAACACTGCCTCGAACAAACAACGGGCTTAACTCAACTTTCTGCTCTGGCAGTATTTGGAAACAAAAATAAATGCCCTCCAGTTGCTGAGGAAGATTAGATTTCTAAACGTCAGTGCTCTGCTGAAATGATTGGATATAGAAATAACTTTTGCAGGGGAGAACAATGGGGAGCACAGAATGGGGACAACTGTAATTGAAGAACAATAAAAAAAGAAATAACTTTTGCACCCATGACAGAGGTTTGCCTACAAAAGGAAATAGGATGGGATCAAGGCCTTGATAAATGATCAAGAATTACCCTAGAATTTCTCTGAGCTCATTTTAAATGCTAGGCATTTGCCGTGCTTCCTATTGATGTCTTTTCCCCCAAAAATCACACAGGAGCTGCACCATATGGGTGCTGTGGGGGGGTTAAGTCGTTAGGAATACAGATTCAGGGGCAAGATTTCCTTGCTTAACCCCAGCTCTGCCTCTCACTGGTTATGTGTTCTAGGGCAAGGACTTACTTGTTCTGTACATCAGTTTCTTTATTCATAAAGTGGGAATAATAGTACTGTTTACCTCAAGAGGGTGTTATAAAGAATAAGTGAGATAGCCCTGGCTGGTGTGGCTCAGTGGATTGAGTGCTGGCCTGTGAAGCAAAGGGTCACCAGTTCGATTCCCAGTCAGGGCACACGCCTGGCTTGTGGGCAGTGTCTCCAGCAAGGGGCACATAAGAGGCAACCACACATCGATGTTTCTCTTCCTCTCTTCCTCCTTCCCTTCCCCTCTCTCTAAAAATAAATAAGTAAAATAAAAAATAAGTAAAACTATTTTTTAAAAAAGAGTAAGTGAGATAATGTGTACAATACTTGGGAGACTTGCTGCTGAGGGTAAAGGCTAGATACGTATTAGCCACTAGTAGTAGTCGTAGAGTGTTCTTTCAAATTTAGATTAGTTTAATCTAGGAAAATATTTTGAAATTACATGGAAAACTGTTTTAAAAAACTCTAATCATTTGCAGCCATTTACTTGTGTAAATCAGATTCTTACCCATGTTGAGCAATGGAAACAAATTCAACAATTAACTGGATGCTTAGATAAACATAGGACTGCAAAATAGGACCCCAGTTTCATTTATACCTTCCTGTTCATCACAGTAGCATCTTTATTCAGGGTGATTGGCTCTGTAAAGAATACCTGTTAAATATTTATTTTTAACAAATAGCTATATTCAAATATGATCAGCTCACCACTTTCTCCTAAGTTGGTGTAATGCAAAAGATTTCATTTGAAAATAGGGTCTGTTGGGATGGGGAAAGAATGCCAGAGCAGGAGGCAATGGGAGCTGTCACGAGGGAAGAGATTGACAGAGGCATGAAACTCGACATGCAAATGCTTCATTCATCAGGAAACCACTGGACCAAACTGAAAGCAAATGTCAAATGGGGATTAAATTGTCAAACAAATACAAAAACAAAGGATTATGTCTCAATGTATAAATAGGAAAGCAGACGATTCCGAAGAGAAGAAATGTTCTTGAAAGCATTCCAAAACACACTAGGAAATTTCTAAATGGAATTTAAAAGCAAGAAGACAACACTGTCCATCTTACAATTTGCCAAAAATTAAAAGCACACGATGACAGCCCTGAGGAGCCCTCGGGGTGGGGGGACAGTCACACAGGCTGCTGATACACGGGAAACTGAGACAGCCTTTTTGAGGAGCCCTCTGGTTGTACAACTCAAAAGTCTAACAATGTTCATAGTTTTTGGCATAGTAATCCCATTTCTGTGTTTCCTATGAAAATAATCAGATGATCAAATATCTAGGAATATGAACACTCACTACATTGTTGCATCATAGCAAAACATTGCGATACGTCCAAGGCCAGCAGGGGACAAGTGATTCATTCAATTACGGCACTGTAGTGTGGCATTTTATTTACGGTTATTTAAAAAGGATGTTTTGGAGGAATTTTGACTAGCACGGGCAAATACTTATATTACTGAATAAGCAGGACAGAAATCTAAACATGTAATATGAGTTATATCCATGGAGAAAACACTAAGTGAAAATACTCCAAAATATAAATCACTGCTATTTCTGGGCAGTGGGATGATGGAAGACTTTCATTTTCTTCATAATTATCCTGTAATAAACACAATTGTTTGTATCAGAATTTAAAGCGATTTTGTAAAAAAGATTTTAAAAGTTTTGGGTTTTTTTTTTCTGGAATTTTAAGTGCTCTTTAAAAAGAGTGTAAAAATGAAAACAGTAACCTGCTCTGGACATAGAAACCCAGTTTCCAGTTTCAGTATAAGTGTGTGTAGAGCACGAGGAACTAGCTTTTGAACAGGAGCTTGAAGGCCTCTGTGAATGCAGTCCACGAGGTTTAGTGCATGTGATTTTGGTACTTAATTTAGTTGTGCAGAACTCTTTTTATCTTATGACTTTCCCTCATATTCTGAATCACTGATTAATAGTAAAACTGAGTATTTTATTAGGTAAGGTTTCTTTTATGGGTTTCTTAAAAATAATGAAATAAAGCGAAAAGACTTATAAGACAAGGAGGCTTATTTCCCTCTCAGAGCCCGTTCTGGGAAGCGGTGGGGAAGCCAAGTCCAGAAGACGGACGTGCTTGCCGGCGCCCTGCCCCAACACCAGCAACATCAGCGTGTGGAACATCCTGCGGAATAACATAGGCAAGGACCTGTCCAAGGTGGCCATGCCGGTGGAGCTGAACGAGCCCCTGAACACGCTGCAGAGGCTCTGCGAGGAGCTGGAGTACAGCGAGCTGCTGGACAAGGCCGCTCGGATCCCCGACCCCGTGGAGAGGATGGTGAGGACTCAGCCTGCCCACTGCGCCTGCGCCACGCTCAGGCCCGGCCGAGCCAGCACCGCCAGAGCCAGAGCGACAGCCAGGGCCCCAGTCCCCTCTGGTGTTCCCTGGGATTGTTCTTTTGATGGTTCATTTCTCAGTGGCATCTGGTTCCCCTCTGCCTGGCTGTTTTCAGTCACCTGTCAGGACTTGCCATGTGGCGGGGAAGTGGGGGACGCTTCTCCATGACAGCTGGTGCCTGAGGGTAGTTCTGCGCTGTGGGTTTGTGCGGCTTCTTCCCCGCAGCCTTCAGAGGGATTGTTCTGATCAGCCTGGCTGGAAAACGTCTGTCTCAAGGGCTGTCAGGGTGTTTATTTTTACTATCCGGCTGGACAGATTTAATTTCTCAAGCTGTTTTTTTTTCATCCATGGTAAATTTCCCTGGAGGATGTTTTTGTTTATTTTTGGAATTGCCCAGGCTCCTGGATTTTCAGAAAATAACACAGAAGAGATTTTCACATAAGAAACATTCTTCTTCCCCCACCCCTTCTGATTCTACAGAGCTGGGGATGGGGGGGAGGGCGGTGGTTGTTGTCTGATTCTATAGAGCTTTTTTTTTTTTTTAAAGCTCATCCTAGGAAAATTCACCTTCTGTTCTCTACTCAGTTAGCATTTCCAGTGAAGGGGCTTCCAAGTGTTTCTCATCCTTCCCCATCTCGTGGGGGATTCCGTGGTGGTGAGACTGTGGAAAACTCAGCCTTTTCTGCAACTGTGGCTGACTTTGTTCTTCAAGAATTTCTCTTCCCCTTTTTGCTTCCTCACATGCTACCTGCTAAACAGTAAGGTCATTCACTGTGTGGGAGGCTGGGGCTACCTTGTCTTCCCCCAAGAGTTTCTGTCCTGGGCGTTTGCCGATTGGCTAAACCGGAGTTGGTGCACCCCCATAGCTTCAGGCCCTGAAGTCACCGCCCTCTACCTGATAAAGGACACCCTTCTTTTCTAAATTCTAAGCATTCTGCAATTTCAACCTCAATTAAGGCTTCATTACTTAAGTGATTTGAAGATTAAGGGGAGCTCTAGTGGGTGCAGAGAGACATCCCTCAGTCATTCCGCAGTCTCTGGGGACTTCTCCCATCACGGGATAATCAGAGCAGGGGAGAGAAACAAGCACTGCATCTTTTCAATCTTCTTTGTCGCTCCTCCCCAGAGACTCTCGGCCAAACAAAGGGAAGCACATAGCTTCCAGGGCAAGTGTTAAAAGTCAGCATCTTTAAAGAAAATGATTGGCTTTGAAGATGAAAGTATTCTTAAAGGTGCTTCATGCTTGTGGCAATTTAGAAGCCCTCAGGTTGTTCAGCTGATTGATTGGTGTGGTTGACCTTGAGAAGAAGCTTGAGAAAGGCGGTGCATTCCAGCACAGTGCATCCTGGGAAAGTGCTGGGAGCACTGAGGGGGAAGCTTACTCTGGGGTCCAGTTCACTCCACTGTGGGTGGACTCTCTCTCCTGTTCCAGCCCAAAAGGAGGAGCCTGCATCGGGCCTGCTCCCTCCCTCCCATCTCCCCCAGTGTTATGAATAACACCAGGCTCATTTATACATTTTGGTATATTTTAAACTGTGAAGGTGACTCAGGGTTGGTTCAGCATTCAGCATAGACAGGGCGGCCTTGCTGTTTAACAGGTAACACACATCTGAGGGAGCAGAGAGAATAGACACCCAGGTCTCCGGAACAAAGACTGAATTGAGCATGTGCGTTGGTTTTTGTAAACAGTCCAGCTGCTCTGGAGTGTTCTGTAGTGTGAGCTGGTAAAGTGGATCCTGTTTGCAAAAGGCTAAGGGAAGTTGTGCAACTAGTGAACATTTATGAAGGGCATTCATCTTTTTTTTTTCCAAGATAAGAAACCTCATGAAATGTGTTGGGAAGAGGAAACGTGGCAATTGTTACTCAACAGTATAAAGGGAAAGCTGCCATTGTACTTAGGGTTAATTTTTTATCTGCCCCCATCAACCCCAAAAGACAAAAATAATAATGTATGTTTTGTTACCCCAAATAAAGATGCTGAGAGCCTCACAGGGAGGGTGTTTGTGAATCTTTCATGTCCACCCATAGTTTTCCTTTCTTTTCCTTCTTGAGTTTCCCCTTTCTCCTCTCCCCAAAGCAGAACTTTGTAAAAGGCACCGTGCTCTGTGCTGGTGGCCTGTTGCCCAGGCTTAGGAAGTGACGCTCACAGATTTTCTTTTGTCAAAATGAATTTTGAGATTTCTGCAGTATCAGATTGGGAATGGTTCAGCTTAGGATGCTTATTCCTGAGTTTTGAGGGAAGTTTGGCTTTTTTAAGTGCTCTTCCTCCTCCTCCTCCCCCCAAAACCTCAGCACGGCATCAGGATTCTCAGGTATTGTCAGGTTTAGAGGTACTGCCCTCTGCTTAACAGCCCCCAAAATAGTGCAGTTCATGGTACATATCATCATCTCGAAAGCCTATGCCAACTTTCGGCATCAGGACAAATGGGGAGTTTGAAAACGTTTGGTTCATTTGTTTCCGGGGCCACAACAAACATTACTCAAGCCTGCAACTTTAAACCAAAGTTGGTTTGGTTGTCTTTACACCTGGGATGAATCTTTGGCTTTCTGAAACAAACCACGGTCACAGAGAAATAACTATGTTTTTCTCTTACTTGCCTTAGGTGTACGTGGCCGCCTTCGCTGTGTCGGCCTATGCGTCCAGCTACTTCCGAGCCGGGAGCAAGCCCTTTAACCCGGTTCTCGGAGAAACGTACGAGTGTATTCGTGAGGACAAGGGCTTCCAGTTTTTTTCAGAGCAGGTGGGTGTACACCCTTGCTGTTTGTGTACATGGCCTTTTGTCCGCTTCTGCTGAAGGAGTTGCTTATGCCTCCCCTTACATGTGCTTTTGAAATATTTATTTTCCTCCTTTCACCAGCTTCAAAGCAACTGAGATGATTACAGTGCTTTTACCCATAAAGAGAAGGATCACGTTCCCTTCCGTGGAAACCTAGCCATCACTCCTGGGCACAAAGGGTACTAGCAATGTGAGCTCCCTCACTTGGCCATAGGCATTGGCCAGGCCTTTCTCTTTGTTCCAAGTCCTAGTGAGAGAAAATTTCAGAGTAAGAAGCAGTTGCCCAAACTGCCACGTAGAGGTTTAAAACGTGTGCCCTCAACGTGCTGTCCCTGTCGTTCTAGAGCATGAGCGCCCCCATCAGGTTGGGTAGCGCCAAATCAATGCATTACTCTTGATTGTAAGAATACATTCAGGTATGTATTCAGTCGGTAAATATTGCTCCAGCACGTACCGTATGCCTGGCGTTGCTCCAGGGGCTGGGAGAATGCAGTGGGGTGGGGGCCGTGGATGCCTGTCCTCAGCTAATGGATGGGCGTACTTCATACTTACACAGCCTGAGTTCCGTAAGCTTCCACAAGACTCTTCCCATCTCAGAATTAGCAGAGAATAATGTTCAAGAACAGGATCTCTGGGTCCAGACAGCATAGGTTCAAATCCCAGCTCTACCTGTTCCCTAGGTTTGTGACCTGGGACAGGCTGCTTCAGCTCCCTGGGCTTCAGTTCCCTCTTTGCAGTGGAGGTGGGGATATGGCGCAGACTTCAGGCGGCTTTGTGAGGGTTCAATGAGAAATGCTCTCCAGGGCACTCGGCCCAGGGTCTGGCACAGGAAGTAAAAAGTGTTACATGTGTGTTTGCTCCCGTTTCGGACACTTGACGGCATGACTTGCAATACTGTAACACTGGCAATGTCCAAAATGCCTGTCAATAAGGAATGGTTTGGCCAAAAAAATGGGTACAAAGATACTGAAAATAAAAATAAAAAACAATTCTCCTCCCCGGTTAAGGCCGTGATTGAACACGTCCAACCACCATATAACCCTAAATGGCCCTGTAGGGACATTAAACGTGATTGGTTTGATACATGTCTCTCCTGCTGATTCTTAGAAAACTGAGGGGAAAGGGGGTGGGGTTTTCTAAAATATGGTTTCCCTTCCTGTCACGTGCTACCCTCTTTGTCAATGGGTGTGCATTATGGGGAAAGGAGGAGCGGGGGTGTGGCTGGCGGCCTATGAAGACAGTGCTCGTGGGAACTGTGAGTCACAGGCCGTGCTCTCTGGAGCTCAAAGGAGAACGGACCCCCAGCAACCCCCAAGCACGGTGTCTGTGGCCTTCCAGCCAGAAGCTAACTGAGAAATTAAACACTGATATTGGGGAGATAGGGGGTTAAGTCAGTAGCTAAAGAAATACGATAATCTGATTCAAATTCATCTGGGTTATTTAAATACTTAACCTAAAATGGGCTGAAAATATAATTTGGTTACCATGGCATTATGTGCACTCATGTGAAAAAACAAAGGCCAAAAATAGCCCCAAACTACAGCCGACAATCAGGATAAGATGAGTAGCTATGAGAAACAATAGTAATGTGAGCTCGTCTAAGCTAAGCTTCAACCCTGTGAGCCCTGACAGGACAGAGCCAAGTTCAGGGTCTGCCTGTGTATCTCTTGCGGTGACTCGGAGAGAGAGAGCGGAGCTCCCAGGCACATGCGCACAGAGATGGAAAGAGCATTACATAACTTAGTCTTCAGTTCCACGAAATGGATCCCAAGGAAATAGGCAGGAAAGAGATCTGGGCATTGTTAGTAGCATAGGGTGTGCTGGGTATAACGTACACCTGCTTTCAAATCCTAAGCCCACCCCTTACTCCGTGTGTGGCCTTGTATTAGTGACTTAAATTTCCTGAGCCTCAGTTGTTTCTTTTTTTTTTTAAAGATTTTATTTACTTAATTTTAGAGAGAGGGGAAGAAAGGGAGAAAGGGAGGGAGAAGAAACATCAGTATGTTATTGTCTCTCCCATGCCCCCCACCACTGTTGACCTGGCTTGCAACCGAGGCATGTGCCCTGACTGGGAATCGAACCAGCAACCTTTTAGTCCGTAGGCTCTTTGGTTCACAGGCCAACACTCAATCCACGGAGCCACACCAGCCAGGGCTCAGTTGTTTCTTTATAAAATAGGAGTGGTAGTGCTAGCTCATAGGTAGCAATAAGGCTTAAGTGAAATTATAATACACTGCTATATAAAGTATTATTGCACTGAGAACAATACACGTTCAGCACATTGTTACTGCTCTTATATTTAGAGGCAACTTTTAAAATCTTTTTAAATATACAGTGTTAAGAGTAGTAAGAGGAGTGTTGAAATAAGATATACTGTATCCACGCTACTCACTCAAGTGCTTTGAAGGGGGCCTAATGTCACCGGTGTGTCTGGGACAGAAAGCCAGCATGGGGCAGCCAAGAGACCTCACAGCCGGCTTCCCCGGGGTGATACCATGTACCCCGATCACAGTGGAGCCACCTCCTGTGTGTGGAATTTAGCCTTGTGGCCTTAGATAGTTAGTTCTTCTCATACGCCCGAGAATGGATGCGTCTCTCGGAGACAGAGCCACGCCAAGGTTACAAGATGCTGATGCATGAACTACAGAGCTGCTCCTCGCACTCACCATGAAAAATAGACCCGCCGCGGGGCCCAGAGGCGTTGTCAGCACGACCAGGCATGCTTCCCCCAGAGACAGGTCACTCGGGGAGAGGTGCGTGTGGTGAGAGAGAGAGGTGGCTGTTTAATTCAAGGGGCCGGACTGCCCGCTTGCCGCTTCCGGCCCAGGAGACATTGAACTTTCCTTTCCTAGAGACCTCACGACCCTGCCCTTGCCCTCCACGTGCAGGTGACAGACTTCGGCTTTCAGAGCTCAGGGGCTGCTTTGTCTTCTTGCACCTCTACCCTGAGTAGAGGTCACCGAGTGACTAACATCATAAGCTGGGGAGGGCCCCCACGTTAGCATTTTTGGGGTGGAATTTATTCTAACGAGGAAGGGCATTGATGGAACGCATATCTCCAAGTGAAAGGAACCGGGAAGTAACAAGAGTCACTCGGCTTTTCTGCCATGTGTTCTGGACATCGTTCGAAAAGTAATGTTGGTGCCTTTCCTCCAAGCCCTGGGTTTTGTCGCCTCGTGGTTTCATGGGCACGTGGATGTTCGAAGTGGTCAGTGACCAGGGAGGTTGAGGTGCGCCCCAGAGCTCAGCTACATCGAGCTGTGTCGTTTCTCACCTAACAGACCCAAACATGCAACGTCAATGTGACTCGTGAGGTCGGAAACCAGAGAAAACATGCGTTGTTTCAATTTTCCTTGTAACTCGACATGCAGAGTGCCTCACGCTTTTCAAACTGGTATGGGGTCTCATTTGATCTTCAAAACGCCCACAGTGTGGCCGGCGAGGAGAGGATCAGTCACAGGCGGGGATGCCGAGACTGAAGGTGGCAGCATTGTCCAGTCCCCCTCGGCTCACGCCCTTTGCTTCCACTCCCTGGCCCCTGTCCGTCAGCTTTTTTTGGAGGTCTCTTGTGTAGGTTTAGTTGCCACTGGATTTATCAGCTCAGAGCCACTGGATTTATCAGCTGCCCATGTGAAAATAGCCTTTTTTGTACTGTTCAGACGATGGGATTTTGTCTGCCTTGGCCACTTAAACCTTTCATCCTCCAGACTCACGGGAGGACTCTGTGCTCTGCCCCCATTGTGAGCTGGCGGGCAGCCTTTGTGGACCGGATACTTCTAGGAGTCCATTATAAACATTCCTGTCATCCGTTCCACCGTGTCGGGGAAGGAGCTTCCTTTGTGCCAAGAAATCTGATTCAGCCTTGGCTTTCTGAATAAGCCCAAAAGGGGGAAATTCAGGGAAAAAGGGACTTCCTCTGTCCCCTCAGGGACTGAGGCTCCTGCTGCCCGGCACAGAGCGGACATGCGTTTGGAGCTTCATCGGTGGCTGCAGGACTCCGCTCCGAAAACTCGTTTCAGTCAGTTTTGCTTCTCTGTGTACCTTTGGGACAGGTTTGCTGTCTAAATTTAGGACGTGCAATTAAGCTATTGCCTAAAAGTGGCTTCTCCTAATTACCTGAAACTTCAGTTGTCGGGTCCCTGTGTTCCTGTCATCCTAACCATTTACACACTCTCAAGAGTGTGTGGCAGGAACACTGAGTGGAGTTACGGAAAGCTACTAAAATGGGAGAAATTCAAAGAAGTGTTTTTTTCCCTTTGCTCCACGGGCTCGGCCCTTCTTCCTTTTCTGTGACGCATCCGGAGAACTGGAACAAAAATTCTCGGACAGACTGTGAATACCCGTGCCTGTCACTCTTCTCGTTGCAGCCTCACATTCCCTCTCTGAACAGTTCTTTTATCTGGTAGAAGCCAGAGGTGTTTACTGCGGATCACAGTGACCTCTTGTTTAAAGACCTTGTGGGGGTGGGGGGGGGGGATTCAAGCTGTTCCAGTAAAACTAGCAGTGAATTAAATGGAAGGTAGCTAAACCAGTGCCTCTCCTTTCCTAGGTCAAGTCCTCAATGTGTTTTTTTTTTTCCTGTTGTTTTTCTTTTTTCACAAGGACCCAGGTGTATATCAAATAAGAGATTAACTCTGAACACAGGGGAAGAGAAAATAATTGGCAACTGCATGTTCCCCCCAGTCAGGCCAGTATCTTTGGCATCATTCTTAACAGCTCAGTCTCTTATAATCCCCATCCTATCCACCAGCAAACCCTAGGGCATTTGTGCGGAAGCCTTCCTTCCAAAGCCGGCTGTGTTCACTGCCCGCCCACTGGTGCTGGCCACCGTGCCCACGCCACCATAATCAGTGACGGGGATTATTGCAACAGACTCACTGTCTGGTCTCTCATTTCCATAGCAAGCTCCTCACCTGCAGCCAGAGTGATTGCTTCAAGTAGGAGGCACAAGTTCTCTAAACTCTCCAGTGACTTCCCCTGTCACTTGGAATGAAAGCGGAAGTCCTGGCCGGGGCCCACCAAGCCCGCCAAGATGCCACTGCCAGAAACACGCCCCCTCCCGCTTTCACTCATTCAGTCTCAGCCAGGCTGCCTTTTTGCTTCTCCTAAAACACACCAAGCACCTGCCAGCCCTGGGCGGTGGCTGCGTCTTCCACCTGGGACGCCCCTCTCCCAGCTCTCTGTGTGGTTCACCTCCTTATCTCTCTCCACCCCAGAACTTTCCATTATCGGGAGTCCTGCCCCAATAACCCTGTCTGGGACAGCACTACCACTTAGCCCTCCCCCATCTTTATGGCTGGCTTTATCCCTAAAAACTGGCACCACTGACAAATTACATACTCATTTGTTTATTGTCTGCCTCACCCACTTCTGCACTAAAACGTTAGCTCCATGAGGGTGGAGGTTTTTGTTTCTCACGGTGTCCGCAGTGAGTGGGGCAGGGCCCGGCACCTCATGGGGATCAGTCAAGTCCGATGAATGCCATGCAGAGACTGGCCACGGCCCCCTCCCTGGATGGTTTTTTTGTTTTCCATCTGGCACTTGCCCTCTTTTCCACAACTGCCCTTTGAGGACAGAGGTGAGCCAGGAACTAGGACTACATAGTTATGTCTCGGGACAGCTGCAGAATCGATGTATTTAAGGGATATTTTTATAAATCCAAAAAAGAAAAACTCACAAAATACACAAATGTTGAAATACACTCTTTCCCATCTGCTTCTTACCTGTTGATGCATTCAAAGCATAAAAGTAACTAGGTCAGGGTGAAGAACGCCTTCAAACACATAAATCAATTACAAGAATTCTTCACCATCGGGATCTCATTGACCTCAGGCTTGTAGAAAGAAACGTGCATATAAAATCCACATATGCTAATCTCCTGAATGTTTGGGGATCCTCGCCAATCAGAGGGGAGAGGGATGCTGGGAAACCAGTCTAAACCGGATTTAGGCAGTAGGCTAACACAGAGTGTCTGTTCCGGGGCTGGGTCAGTCCCGACTCCAGCTAAGACTCGGATGCCTCTGTGGGTCACCACTGGGTCAACGGGAACAGAAACGCAGCGCTGAGGCAGCTCCAGGCTGTCCTGGCCCTGCTGTTCTCTGCCTGCAGGGGTGCCGCCCAGAAGTGGTGTTCAGACCGCGTTCCTCATTGCAGCCGAGGCTCCGCAGCGGGTGGCTTTGAGGATCTCTTCTCTCTCCCCCCAAACCATGCTGTGAACCAAACCCACTGGTTTTACCATGACTTCTTCCCTGTCCGTGTGGCGGGGAACCCTTCCGTAACCTTTCTGGTGTCTGTCTCCTCGTGTGTAACAGGAAGCCTTCGGGCTGAATGCCCTAAATGTAGCATACTTTGGTAAGAACCAGCTGGCAGGAATTTCTGGAAACACGGCTGGCACCATGACTGGTCTCACTGACACTGAATTACAGTGACCGCACCTGCACCAGCCCTGAGCCTCGAGTTACGTCCGGAGGCGCTGTCTTCCCAGGAGTGCCTTCGTTAGCGAACCGAACCGAAGTGGTGGCTGCAGCGACGAAAGGCAGGGGGCCCGCTAGGGGGCGCGCTCCAGTCCGCTGCAGGGGCCTCCCCTTCCTAGGATGCGACTGTGTATTTACTCACGTCGCGTATTTCTATCTTCACCGAAAGTGAATAAAATTTTTTTAGCAGTTTAGCTCTTTGTAGAAACAGGATTCTTTAAAAAAAAAATTATCTTCAGTCAGTTCCTATAGGTAATTGGCAAAGAGGTTGGATTTGTGACTTTCAGAAGAGTGAAATCTGCGAAGGCCAAGAGTTTTATTTTTATTGAATTTATTGGGGCGACACCGGTTAACAAAATTATACAGGTTTCGGGTACACAGTTCTGCCACATGTCATCTGTGCACTGCACTGTGTGTTCACCTAGCCCAGTCAAGTTTCCTCCCATCGCCATTTATCCCCTCTACCTTCCTCCACCTTCCCCCACCCCCTGCCCTTCCCCCACCCCCTGCCCTTCCCCCACCCCCTGCCCTTCCTCCACCCCCTGCCCTTCCCCCACCCCCTGCCCTTCCCCCACCCCCTGCCCTTCCTCCACTATCACCATGCTGTTGTCTGTGTCCCTGAGTTCTTTCCCCTTTCTTTTTCTTTTCGTTCAATCCCTCCACCCCGCACCCCGCAAAGTGAGTTTTTGTATTGCCAAGAAGTAGCATTTAAAAATATTTGGGATTTGACAATTTAATTAAATGCAAGTACTTTCAGAACAGGTTAATAGGGATTTTGACCTTGGTAGACAATGTTAGATTATATATAGGGTTTATGAGCGGGCAGCAGTTGTGTGTCCCTGATTTTATTTTCACATCTTTCCAAACGTGTCTCTGCCCTTATCACTCACCACCCTCCACCCCCCGGCCACTTTTCTCCGAGGTTTCCAGAGGTTTCCACTCACCCAGTTTCTTCTCATCCCTGACGAACTTGAGCGATCGAAGCTGGCCGCACTCGGAGCACCCTGTGAAGGGCAGGCTGGTTGAAAGAAAGCTGAAGAGGCGCTGAGCACTGTCACATCTCAGTGCCAGGGGGACAGAATGCACTTCCCAAGACACAAAGTTAATAACTTGTTTTGTTTTTGGCTCTTGTTTCCGTCAGGTCAGCCACCACCCACCTATCTCTGCATGTCACGCCGAGTCGGGGAACTTTGTTTTCTGGCAAGGTAATGTGCTGACTAACGTATCTGACCCCCAGTATTTTGGGGGATGTTATAGATTTGTGTCGTAAGGAGCTGCTGGTGAATGCTTGTTAAGATTAAAAGTGGGCCCTGGACGTGGGCTCGCTGGAAGTATCCACTCGTGTTCTTGCCTGTCATCCCTGAGCAGTAACTGATATTTGTCTGCTTCACAGCTGAGGAGTCAGGAGGATAATTTAGTTGCTCCCTCTTTCAAAAAATTCTCAATCGTGTGATCACCACCATTTTCCTGTAACGTTTTCTCTCTTTCATTCCGTAGACATTGAAAGGCCTCACATTTCAAGAGACACAAAAATACTCAGTTGTTTATCATAGTCTAGATAGCAGAGGGGTTTTTGCTTTTCAAATTTTTTAATTTTATTTCTGAAATCACATTTACATTGCTGACTTTTCTTAAATTTGAGAACTGTTCTCTCTGGATTTGGGAGGGCATGGGTTGTTCTAAAGAATAAATAAGGCTACAAATATTTTCTAAATGGATTAATTTTTTCTTGCCTTTTGGACTGAGGTCCTTTGCTAGCTTATTAGCTATACTTCTTTGTTTCACTTCTCAGTTGTTACTTTAGGATTCGTATTATGTATCTTTAATGTATCACGGTCTACCTTCAAGTAATGTGCCACTCCACTTGTATTATAAAAAAACTTACAAAATATACCTTCATTTCTGCTCTCCCAACCTTTGTGCTATTGTGGACGTACATTGTATTCATGTATATTATAAACCCTGCAGTACATTGCTACTACTACTCTCTTTGCTTTACATGGCCAATTATCTTTTTCTTGAGGCACCTTTATCAAGATACCCAATGGTTTTTAGTATATTTACAGAGTTGTGCAACCATTACCACAATCAGTTTTTATAACGTTTTCATTATTCCAAAAGAAACCTATTTATCAACTCCCCCCACCCCAACTTCCCATTTCCATGAGTCTCTTTCACCCTGAGACAACCACTGACCTACTCTCCATAGATCTGCCTTTTCTGGATAGTTCATGTGAATGAAATCATGTAGTAACGTGTGGCCAGGGTCATCCTGGGCCAGCTCCGCCTCTGTCCTGGCCATCGGGCATGGCCCCACTGGCCTCCCTGCTGTCACCTCTGCCCCCCTGCGGCCTGAAGCGTCATGCCGCAGCCAGAGGGGTCAGTGGTCTGTGCCTTTCTCCTTCTGTTCCCCGTCTCCCTGCTGGCACCACCACTCATGCAAGTCGAAGAAGTCTGAAATCATCCCCAAGTTCTCCCTGTCACTCACACTGCACACCTGGTCTGTCACCCAGTTCTATTTGTACGTCTTTACTGGTCCCGGGATCGTTCCCTTCCACTCCATCCCCACCACTACTGTCTGGGCTCACTTCACCCTGGTTTATCCCCAGAGTAGCTGCCGTGGCCTGGTAACTTCTCGCCTGCTCCTCATCTCTCCTGCTCCTACTCCGTTCTCCTTACTGCTGCCAATTGTCTTTGCAAAGTCAGTCCCCTGCTCAGACAAACACCTTCTTTTGCCCAGGGCACACAAACCAGACTTCCTAGGCAGGCCACAGAGCCCACTTTTGGTACCCAGTCTGTCTGTGTTCTCTTCCCTCTGGACGGTCTGACCGATAGGACCGAACCACACCCCGTGCCCCACCTTGAACAGGCTATGTCTTCTGCCTTCAGTTGCTTTCCTCGGCCTGGTGGCCTCCTGCATGGTGGCCACTCCTCTCCTCTGGGGTCGTTTTGCCTCACAACATACTCCACTGTATAGCTCTCCCAAGGGGGCTCTCCCGAGGGGGCGCTGGATTGCATACAAAGTCACAAAGGCACCCTATATGGTAACAGGTTTTATTATGAAGACTGTCCTGTGTCATAATCGACCATCTATGTGGCCCAAGAACACTTATATCTACCTAGCTCTCCCGCTAAATGTGTAACATGTTGTATTATTGTATTTCAGATGTGAGATGGAAAAACAAGTTCTGGGGCAAATCCCTGGAAATTGTCCCCATTGGCACAACCCACGTGACTCTGCCTAAGTAAGTGCTTCTGTGGGTGGGAACTTGACAGAATTCAGGGCCAAGATAATGGCTTTAGGACAGGCTGCCCACGCACCCCCCGCCCCCAAGGCACTGAGTGGTTTTTTCTTAATCTGTTTGACAGTCAGTCCAAACGTTCCCATTTTGACAACCTCACATTTTATTTCCCTCAAATGAAAGTGCTTCCTGGAGACCAAAATCCCTTGAAAAGATGCTTTCTGAAAACTCATTTCCACTTTCTAAAAAGTTAAGAATGGTGGTTTTTCTTTAACATTGCAGTCCTGCCTCACTGTTGAGATTTCTTTGAAGGGAGATCTGGCCTTGATCCTTCAGGGACTGTTGACACTTATTCATAAAACAAAACATGGCGTCCAGAACCACGCCCCCAGGATCCATGTGCCCTCCCTCATTCTGCTCCTTACTAATTGCCAATTGCACATCCTTGGGAGGTACCCTAACCTTTCGGATCTCCAGTGCTGTCATCTCTGAACTGGGCATAATCAACCCTCTACTTCATTGGGCTGCTGCAGAGATTAAACAGATAGTATATGCAAAGCATGTAAAATCGTATGTGGCCCGTGGTATGTGCCCTGCAAGTGCTCGGTCTGGCTACCATTATCCTCATAATTATTATTTACCTCCGTAAGTAGTGTCTGAGCACTTTCTCATTGTAAAATACTTAAGATATATATACATTAAGGTTTATACATATGATACATGTGCATATGCCTACATGTGCATATATTTACATGCATACATATATGTGTACCTAAATGTGTGTGCTCACATGTGTGTCGGGGAAGAGCAGATTGCGAATGCCTTCCCCCACTGCCACTTCCCTTTCCTAGTTTGGGGACTTCACGCAAGTCACCTCTGGCTCTCAGTTCCCTCCTGTGTTGGAGGGAGTGGGCTGTCTGCAGAGATGACCCACTGTAGAGAAGCCTCTGGTGGCAGCTCCTGAGCCTGACTGCCCTCAGCTCCATGGCACAGGTGCCTCCCTGGAGAGTAAAAGCTCAGGCCGCCCAGCGTGGCTGAGCAGCTCCGTCCATGCCGGTTCCCTGGGTGCAGGAATGAGTGTTTCCTGACACGACTTGTTTGTGACAGTGGCGTGCTTGTCTGCATGCACTGTGGGCTCTGCTGAGAGCTGTTCCTCTCACCCTCTCCCCCTCTAGTTTTGGAGATCACTTTGAGTGGAACAAAGTCACCTCCTGCATCCATAACATCTTAAGCGGGCAGAGGTGGATTGAGCATTACGGAGAGATCGTCATCAAGAACCGGAATGACGATTCCTGCCACTGCAAAGTGAATTTTACCAAGGTGAGCTCTGGTGGCCCTGGGCGCTCTGGCCTGGGAAGGCCCTGGCACAGCCGGGGCTGAGGGGCACAGGGGATCTTGGGGAACTTTTCACCTTCGCTTTTGTGCCGGCAGACCAGCCATGCCAGGGGTTCCCTGGTCCCAGTCCACCTCTGTCACCTGGACCAGGGCCATGGCTCCTCCTGGCCTCCTTCCTTCCCTCTGGCCCATCCTCAGTGCAGCAGCCACAGGGAGCCTTTGGAAACAGGTCATCATGCTGCCGTGTGGATGGACCTTGAAGACAGTATGCTGAGGGAAATAAGCCAGACACAAAAGGGCAAATGCTGTGTGATTCCATTCTTATGAGGGACGCACCTCAGTCAGGGCCATGGTAACAGAAAGTGCAATGCTGGTGGCCCCGGGGCTGGGGGGCAGGGTCTGGGGAGGGAGTGTTTGATGAGCGCAGAGGTTCATTTTGGGGGGACAACAATTTCTGGGGAGAGAGATGAGGCGACAGTTGTACAGCATCATTAAGGTACTTACTGTCACTGAATTGTACACGTGCACATGGTTGAAACGGTAGGTTTCATTATGTATGTTTTACTACATTTTTTTTAAAAAAGGAGGTTGTGTCACATTCGACCAGATCTCCAACAACTTCCGTCTTTCTCACGGTACCAGCTTCATCCCTACAGGGGCCCACGGGCCCCGCCCAGTCTGCACTTCCCTACCCACCCCTCAAGCTCACACACACACATGTGCACACACGTGCACACACAGGCATGCACACACATCCCCTCCCTCCTCTCCAACCTCAGCGTGCCCGTCCTTCCTCACTGTGGTCCTCAGGCCACACCGGCCTTCTTTCTTTCTCTTCGTCTTCCCTGCCTGGACCCCTCTCCACAGATCCTCCCACCGCCTGCCCCCCTTGTTATCACATCCCATTGTTGGGAACCGCCCTGACTGGTATCAGAGGCTGAAACCCCCGCCTAGGCTAAAGCTAAGGGAACGCCCTTGGAACCGTGAGCCAGCCAGGAGACAAAAGCTTATCTCCCTGGCAGGAATGCTGCTTCTGCTGCTTTATCCATGACTGAACCCCCCAAAAGCTTGGTCAGTTAGCCAAAGACGGGTAAGATTCCCCATGGGGGGAAAGCGACTCTAAGACAGGCACGATCACTTTGGGAGGCCCCCCCCAAAAGAAGGACTTGGGGGGCTGCAGCAAAAGGGGGTGATGGACCCTCGCTCCTCGGCTTTGACATAGCCTGAGTTCTCAGCGTCTGGGAGAAAATCTCCTTATGTCTTGGTTACCTTAGTTCCCTTGCTCCACCTAAGCCTAAAACAATGACAGGGTGGTGCAGCTCGGTACTGAGAAGTGCGGATTCCCTGGGTGATCAGGCCTAAGAAAGAATATGTAAATTACTGTGAAACCTTCTTTGTTTAGAATGCTCTCAGTTGAATGAGAAGGGTCTTAGGAGGAAGTTAATTTGTTCCTCAGTCTTACAGCTCTTTGACCCCCAACTCAATAGACCGGGCAGAGTTCTTTGTTTTCTATAGTTCCTTACTTCCCCTAATGAGTACTGTACTTTACCTGAATTATTATGCAAAATGATCCCAATAAAAGCAGGTATGGACGGTAAATCAGCGCGCTCCCCACTAGGGGGGGTGGCCATTCTGTCCCTACTTCCCCACAGAAACTAGTTTGTCTCTGTGCATGTGTTGTTCTTTCTCGCGTGTGTTTCGGCTAGCCATCCACAGCGTTCCATGGTCACTGCTGGCCGGTGACCCACACACAACATCCCATCTTCTCCGAAGCTGTCATCGCTGACTGCAATTAGCTTGCTCCCTGTGGGTTTCCTTGTTTATCTGCTACACCCCATGCCCTCCTGCCACCCCTGCCCCAGGAGAGTGGCAGGCCGGTCTGTCTTGCTCAGGGCTGCAGCCTGCCGCCTGGAAGTGGTGCCTGGCGCCCAGTGGAGGCCCATCCGCGCAATGAGTGAGCGGACTGGCCTGCGGCACACGCGTGGAGTGGTCTGCGCTCCCTCCCACCTGCCTCGGTGGCGGCCCCCTTGCTCCTCTCTTCCTCCTTCCATGCCCTGTTGCTGTTAAAAATCTCAAGTACTTCAAAGGGCCTGAAAGTGTTACCCTACCCTCAAAAATATTTGCATTGAGTTAAGGTGAATTCTAAGCTGAGGTATTTGGTTCTCATCATGGGATCTCACGGGGTGCCCTCTGGGCCACCTGTAGCTGGTGGGGGGGGGGCATGATGGACGGGTGGACTGGGGTCTTTCTTACATCCTGCAAGTCGGACTGGGCTGTAGTCAGACACAAAGCTAGTAGTGATCTGGCGTTAAATAAAAATGGCCCTGCCTCTTTGAAAGCTTCGTCTAAGCTGTCTGCAAAAAAAAAAAGCAAAAGGCAGCCTGGCACAGAATCCGCGCGCTCTTCCTGCAGGGGAGAGCCGCCCAGCTCTCAGCATTTCCCCCGAGGAGGTGTGCTGGGCTCCTGTGTCTCCCAGCCGCCTGGTCCTTGTCCACCTCAGACCAGAGCGCAGGTTTTTGTAGCCCCACGAGATGAAGAGCGTTCGGACGCGGGCCGTGTGCCTGCTGCGGAAAGAGAACCTGCGAGCAGGCATCGGCGGCGGCGCCCGTGGGTCGGGACTGCCTCCCATTGAGGCCCCATCCCCTTGCCAGCGTTGGCTTTGTTGGCAAATATGTGTGAGAAAAAACCCGGCATCTGCTTCAGAACAAACTGAACAGCCTGGACAGTATTTTTATCTTTCTTGCCTCAGTTTTACATGACGTGAGAACTGACTTTCAAATTTCTTATTTATTTATTTATTTTTAATCATTGTTCAAATACAGTTTTCTCCTTTTTACTCCCAATCCATTCCCACCTCCCACCCCTCCCCACTTCCCTCCCATTACCACCCTCCCCTTAGTTTATGACCATGTGTCCTTTAAGTTTGTTCCTGTGAACCCTTCCCACTGTCCCCTGAAATTCCCTCTACGACTTTCAAATTTCTGCTTCAGGTCAAGATGCTGAGCACAGACTTGGGGTGGGGAGGCCAAGCCGTCAGACTACGGCCTGAAAATGCCACTCAACTTCATTAGCTTCCAAATATGGATTCTGTTTTGGCTGAAAATAGTACTAGGGTTTTTGAATTGTGGAGTAATGCCTTCCCTTTTTCTAGTGGAGACTTTTTTAGGGCAGCCAAGGAATTGGGAGATTTTCTTTTTTTAATGAATTCTAGGAAGTCGGAGCTCCCTCTGCTGGGCATGGTGTAGTACTGCATAAAGCTTCAAGGCAGAGCTGAGCTGAGCTGGTCTGGTCTCAGACCTGGTCCAACCACAGTGTCATATGGATTGGCTCAGGTCCCTGTAGATTGGATGAAAAGACCTATGGTTGGGGGGAAAATGATAGAAGAAACTGAACGTTTGTTGGTTGACAAAGTGGCCACCTGTATTTGTTTATAAAAGACTGTCTTGTTCCTTTAGAGAAAAAAATTACAGGAGGTATATTTCTTTCCAGCTGCAATAGTCAGACCCACGGCGAGCACCAGGGAACCGCTGTTCCGGGGGGTGGGGGGCGGGGAGCTTACAGGCCAAGCACACTCCATGGCTGATGTGGACAAACTGAACTTTCCCTTATTACTTTGTGTGTCGAAAATGTAGAAGAAAATGCATCTCACACACCCAGAAAAAAACGTATCAAATGTTGGTTCATTGAATTGCAAACTGTAAATAAAGGGTTAGCTATTAATTTTTATTACATAATTAAAAGTGTAATAAAAAATGATAGAATCCAGAACTGGCGAACTATATGCAGTGTAGAATTATCCTTATGGTTCTCTCCGTTCCCTTTTTCCCCCTTCTCAGTGTCTGTAATAAGTGGACCCCATAATACTAAACAGACCACTCCCGCTTGACTTCTAGGCAAAGTACTGGAGCACCAACGCCTGTGAGATCGAAGGCACCGTGTTCGACCGGAGCGGGAAGGCGGTGCGCCGGCTCTTCGGGAAGTGGCACGAGAGCATCTACTGCAGCGGCGGGTCCTCCTCGGCCTCCTGTGTCTGGAGAGCGAGTTAGTATGGGGGATGGGGGAGGGGGAGGCATCGGTGTTCACCGGCGCCCCCTGCCTGCTCTGAGCTGCGTGTGAGCTGTCGTTCCTCTTCACTCACCGAATCATCTCTCAGACACATCCCCAGGCTTATCAGCGACTCCGCCGGTGGCCTGGGGTTCTTTCTCCCAGAACGAAGCCTTTGCTACTCCCCGGTCGTTCTGTCCTCCCGTCAACACACCTCACCCCTGTGCCTACACTGGGCACTAAGAAGGGGTCAGTGAAGTACCGGAAGTCATGCTAGAGCAGGACAAAGAGAGAAACGTTCCCAGAAAAGCAGGGCGACCTGAGGGCACACAAGAGTTAGGGATCCCCCAGGTCCGTCCAGCCCCACAAGCCACTCTGATCGCCCCTGTCATGCCACAGGGATGCTGAGCCCTGTGGGCGGCCGTGGGAGGAAGGACCAGGGGCAGCCAGACCTTCCTAACAGGCCCCAGGGTGTTTTAAGACTTTAGTTCATCTTCTAATCTGATAAGTAGGTTTCCCAGCCGTGGTCCTATTAAAAAAACATTGTTCTGAAAGACCACCATTAGGACGTTTTAGGCTGATCAAAACAAGAAAACCATTCTAATAGTGGCTTAAACCATTAGGAAATGGGCTAATAATTACTAATAAGTTGGTGGGTGGCCCCAGGGTTGACGAGAGGCGGCTTGCCTGTGTCAGGAGCACAGGTCAGGGAGGGTGCATTCTGCCACTCCTGATATGGTGGCCGTGTTGCCCTCCTGGATGTAACCGTTGTCACACGTCACTGTCACATCCCCACGTGACAGGCCACCAAGCAGGGAGAAGGGAGGACAAAAGAGCGTTCTTCACTTATGCCCCACTCTTCTCAGGAGCGCAGTTTCCTCGGGTCCCCAGCGAATGTGTCTTTACATTCTGTCAGCCTGGAGCGGGTCCAGACCCATCCTGCAGCAATGCGGGGCACCTGGGTAGCCCGGAGAGCGTCAGGTGGCTTTGGATTCACCCCCTAGGGAGGACACAGTGCCTCCAGACCAGAGCAGCTTCCCATTAGCAAGGAAGAAAGGGAGATGCCTGTGGAAGGGGCCGCAGTGGGTAGCAGCCACCTTCTCCTCCATCGCCCAGGTCGCTGGAAGTCAGTGTGGGCTGGTCCCGGAGGCCGCCTCCCTGGCCGCAGAGGCGCAGAGGCGCAGAGGTGCATGTGGGATCCTGCGAGGAAGCACTGGCTCTCCTCTGCTTGGAGCCTGTGTCACAGAGCGGGGCTCCCATCCCCTCTGGGTGCTAAGGCAGCACCTGGACGGGAGAGCCTGCATGAGCTGTTGTCACTCTTGCTGTCAGTGTCTTATTCACGGACTTTCTCTCTCTGCCTCGGCCACGAGCGTCCTGGCCCGTCTCCAAGCAAAGCCCCCGTCTTCAGTCTGGTGGGTGGAGATGGGGACAGGTTTCTGAGGGCACTTTGGGAAGCTTTGATGTGATTTCATACTTAGGATACACAGAGAATTAGACCTAGAATTTGACCAAGGACTTCGAAATGTCCGGAAGTGGTCTGTAGAAAAGCTCACGGAACACATTTGTATTTGTGTACATGAACAACTAGAGCTTACGCTATGCATGATTTTATTAGTCTAGATTTGATTTACCCAGTGTAAATTTGGGGGGTTTTTAGCTTGATTTAGCTGGAATTCAAGTCAGGGCAATACGCCTGCACTAACCTGCTTGGGCCGCCATAACAAAATACTGCAGACCGGGCGGGTTCAACAACAGAAACTGATTTTCCCACGGTGCTGGAGGCTGGGGAGTCAAAGATCAAGGAGCTGGAGAATCCGGGTTCCGGTGAAGGATCTGTGCAGACAGCCGCCAGCCCAGGGCCCGCCCCACCCCTCTGACCTCATTTAGCCGTGCCTACCTCCTCAGGGGCCCCATCTCCAAAACAGCCGCACTGCGGGTGGGCTTCAAGCCTTGAACTTGGGGGAGATATGGACATTCAGTGCATAGCATTCTGCCCGGGCCCCCAAATGCATGTCCTTCTTATGTGCAATATGTGTTCACCCCATCCCACCAGCCTCCCAAAGTCTCGCCTCATTTCAGCTTCAACGCTAAATTCTGAAGTCTCGTTAAATATCATCCGTATCAGGTAGGGGTGAGTCATGACGTATGATTCATCCTCCCCTGCTGTGAGCCTATGAAACCAAATGTGCTTCCAGAATACAGTGGTGGGACAGCCATAGGACAGGGGTCCCACGAGGGAGACATAGGAACGAAGGAGAGGGGACAGGCCCCAAGCAAGGCTAAAAACCAGCAAGGAAAAAATGTTATTAGATCTTAAGGGTCCAGGATAATCCTCTGTGACTCAATGCCCAGCCCTCCAGGTCCGTTGGGGCAGTGGCCCTGCCCCCAACATCCCCGAGGCCCTGGGTGGCAGCAGCCTGGCCCATTTGCACTGCAGGGTGGCCTCAACCTTTTCAAGGTGGAGACTGCCTGGCCCCTCCCCCCTGCCTGTGCCGTCTGGGCCTGTCGTGGGAGTGGCAGCCAGACGATATCCGAATCCCCTTCAGCCATTCTCGGCAGCTCCAGAAGGATGACAGGTTTGCCTCTGGGCAGCTCGCTCCAGGGCCCCGTCCTCTGAAATGACAGCAGCCCAAAGGCCATTCTCCTTTCGGTCTTGGGTCCTCCGTCCCCTGCGGGTCCAGCTGCCAGTGCTTCTGCCAGTGTGACCCACCTCTGTTCCTGGCTCCGCTGAGAGGGTTTTTAACGGAAATGTGTAAGGTTCGGCAGGGCAGGAGTTAGGGAAAAGAAGGGCAGGTGTGGAGGGAAGAATAACATTTACTGAGCACTGACAGGGGGTGGTCCAACATGACTGCAGGCAGAAGACAGTTTTAGGAGAATTTGACATCTCTCAAGTGGAAAATGGATGCTCTAGAGTGATAGTCTTGTTAGTGAGGAAACATGGATCTCGAGTTCTTTTGAACAAGTTTGTTTTAGGAACAAATTATTTTTCCGGGTTACACAGTATAGAGCCTTAAGGACGTTTTGTGAATTTGCTGTGTAGCCGCACAGAGGAGGCCTTTCCCTGGTGGGTAGAAGAAGACTTCCAGAGAGGAAAATGTAGAGGGACTATCCAGCCCTCGTTGTTAGCCAGAACATGTTAATGCAAACGGAAGAGTGTAAGAGTGTAACGCTGAGAGAGAAACATCGTAGCTGGTCTGAGATGAAAAGCGTGAGGACGTTAAAATGGAACGTAACTGCAGTGCAAGGTAGGGATGAACGGTCTCTCTTTCTTGCAGATCCCATGCCAAAAGGCTACGAGCAATATTACGGCTTCACCCAGTTTGCACTAGAATTAAATGAACTTGATCCGTTGTTGAAGGCTCTGTTACCACCTACGGACACTCGGTTTAGGCCAGACCAAAGGTAAGGGTCCTTTTTTTCCATCTTTGTCTCCAGAGCTGTAGAGCTTTATATAGACTGTTATTAACAGCTTCCTGGACCCCAGAGGAGCCTGGGATAGACAGATGATGCCATCAGGAACAGGGGTGCAGGGGACCGCAGAACCGTCACATGGGCACCATGGAGCCCAGCTTACGTCTGTGTGTGGCACGACCTCTCTTCATCGGGAGAGCCCCATTCCTGTGGAAATATCAAGAAATGTGTTTTTTAAAGAGTTTTACTGCATTCAATTAAAAAATGTATTGTGCATTTGAAAGGGTAAAAAGCGCCCGCCTCCTCCCCACCCAGAACTGGAATTACTCTGGTGCGCTGAGATCCGGTGTTTGAGTCTCCGTGTGCTGCTGACCAGCTGTGTGACATGTGACATGTCTGCTGACCAGCTGTGTGACGTGTGACACGTCTTTTCACCTTCCTCAGCCTCAGTTTCTGACTCTGAAAAATGGGGAGAACGATCTCTCCCCTAAGGCCTTTCTAAGTAAGACTCAAAACCCAGAAGGGAAAAAGGGGGTAAAACTTGACTTTATTTAAAAACACACATGTACACGCAACACCCTTCTTCGTGGCAAAGTAAATAAAATGTATACGCAAAGTCAAAAGATAAATAACAAACTGAGAAGTTTATATCTGCTACTCATTTCATGAACTGTTTCTAGAAATCAAGATCAACCCATTAAAAAATGGACATAAGAAAATGAACAGGTCACAAAATAAGAAGTGCAGATATCCCTTAAATATGAAAAGACGCTTTATCTGACTCAGACAAGTGCACATTTTTAAAACCCCAGGGACATGCCGTTTCTTAACCTACGGATGGCAATGATTCGAAGGCATGGCGTGCTCTGAGCCTGTGGGGAAAGGCGCTCCGGTAGCCTTGCTGGCAGCAACGTGAATCACTGTAATGCCCATGAAGGGCAGTTTGATTGTATACATTACAGACTCCCCCTTCAGCCCAGCAATTTCACTTCCGGAAATTTCTCCCTACAGTACACTAACCCATGTGCAAAATGAGAGATACTCATGGCCCTTCGTTGCAGCATTAACTGTAACATGAAAAGATCGGTGACATCCCGAATGTCTATCAGTAGGAAATTGTCAAAATAAATTCAGATACATCCCTACAACGGAACACTGTACAGCTTTGAAAAATGCAGGTGTCCGTGTGCTACCCAGGGAGGGCTCCAGGTGACACCGGGTGGGGGCGGGGCAAAGTAGGTCTACAGCTGTACGTGTGGCAAATAATACAGCAGTTAGTAACTAAAACAGGAGTGAACTCGGTTCCATGTACTCACAACTGTAAAACTATGTTTGCCTCGACCTGCGTCGTTACATAGAGAGTAAAGCAAAGGGAACCAAGGCACAGACAGTGCAGTACACACAGCCTGCTACCACTTACGTTTGCAAAAGGGAGGGAAGAGGTGAGGATACGCATTCATGTTTGCCTTACGCGCATGGAGAATCTCCGGGAGAATGCACTAGACACTAGTAACACGGGTGGAGTGAAGGGGGTGAGACGGGGGGAGGAGATCGATAGGAAGAATTAGAGATGAGGATGAGTGGGAGACTCCAAGTGACTTTTTAGAGATCTGATTTTGGAACCACATATATAAACCACCAGTTCAAAGAACAATATCTTCCCTTACTCCCTCAAATACCGTTTGAAGGGTGGAAGGGGGTCTCGTGTGTAGGAAAGCGTCTGGCGTATCCAGTTGGGACACATGCGGTCCCAGCAGTAGTGATCGTTATAGGTCTGTGGGATTTGATTCCTCTATTCTCTTCCTCAATGCCTCAGGTTTCTCGAAGAAGGGAAGGTGGAAGAAGCTGAAATACAGAAGCAGAGGATTGAACAGCTGCAGAGAGAAAGGCGGCGGGTCTTACAAGAAAATAACATGGAGCACCAGCCGCGGTTCTTCAGGTGTGTGCCGGGCCCTGGGGGTCGGCAGGTGCTAGAGACACCCAGTGCTTCTGGTGTGGAGAGTGGACGGGGGTGCCCCCTCCCCACGGAAGAGCGTTCTTCGCATTTTCCCGGCTTCAGCGTGGGGACACCAGCTCCCTCTGCGTGAGGGCCCGCCCGGCTGTGACACTTGGCTCTAGGCCGCCCCTTCCTCCGTCCTTCCCAGCTGCAGTGACTTCCGTTTTGCACCTCTTGCTCTGGCCCAGCTGCCTCCCAGCCTCTAGCCCAGCGAGTTCGCAGGGGAAGTGGTCAGTGAGTCAGTGCTAGTGGAGAAGCAAAGGGACCGCCGTCACCCGGCTCCGGGGCCCGGCCAGCTGGTTAAATCCGTGCCTGAGCTTGGTCGCCCACCCCGGTACATTATACACAGCGACAGGCACAAGCAGCTATCACACCACCGGCTACCAAAATGCCAAGTCCAGTAGTAGTCTCAGTTGCAGAAGTCCCAACAACACACTTGGGCTTGGATGTGGAAGAATTACTCTTCAACTTGCCAAGAGGGTCTTGTTAAAAATAGTCGTAAAGCTGTGGAAGGGGCATCGGGGCTCATCAGCCCTTCACCCCCCTTTTCCTTTGCCCGAGAAGGAACGAGGGGCCGGGGACCAGAGGCAGCGGCAGGAGGGGCCTGTGCAGTGTCCTGGGCCGGGGCCTGGCTCTCGGACCGCCAGGCCAGGGCTCTATACGGCTTCAGGGGGGTTGTTGTTTATTCATTTTTTTTTCAAATCAACATTAAAACACATATGCAGAAAAGCTGTAGGCTCCAGCCCCGCCCTCCCATTGAGTCTTGCTTTCAGGGAAACCAGGGTTTTGTGGTCGTTTATGTGGATTTTGTTGTTGTTATTGTTTTGTTGTCATTGTTTTTTAACGGGCAACAGAAACACTTTTAGGAGAAACCAGTTACTAATACATCACACCAGCAAACTAGCAAAATATAAAGCATGTATTCAAACACAGCACACTGGGAATAAGTAATGTTTCACCCCCAAGTACAATGCTTTTTCTTTCAAAGTTGATGTGGATTCTGTCAGATCCTTCCCGATCATTGTTACAATCTCAGGGCGTGAGCAGTTGGAGACTGGCTGGCCAGAGCTTCATCCCCAAATATTCATAACTTTGTATAAATGTTTTAAAAATAAGACCTTAAATTACATTTTTGAAAACAGGCCAGAGACAGGTAAATGGATAGATTAACAAATAGACTGATGAATTGGTAGATACACACATACACCCTTAAGTAGGTCAATTCTTTTTTTTTCCTTATAAATCATCTAGTGTCACTTTTAAACAAGGAGAATCTGTAATTATAAAGATGTTCATCACAGTATTTTTCAGAATCATTAAAAATTGGGGGTAACCAAGCTGTCTCAAGGGCTAGGTAAGGAGATTCATCAACTGGATGTAATGCGAAAGCATCAAAAATGACTTCACACGCTCTGCGGAGGCCTATGGGAAGCGCGTGAACATTTAAATGCAAAATATCACATGTCACGTAGGCTGGCGTTGCATCTGAGAGTTGTGTCTGGAATGGAGAGGGCAGAACACAGCTGCAGCCAAGGGCCGTGGCTTTTTCCCTTTGATTTCTCTGTGAAATTGCCAGCGTGTTGCACATGGCGAATAAAAACCTGGAGAGAAGGCACGAGTTCTTCAGCAGCCACGGTCCCGGCGAGGAGACGCCCGAGGGGCGGGCGTGTGGGGCCTCGGAAGTTTCCCTGCACGCTCGCTGAGGAACAGTGAAAACGTCATCGGGAGTTTCCAGTGGAAACTGGAGCTTGGGCACAATTGGGCCTCTTCGTTTCCTAGTGAAGTCTTCGATAGGCAGATTGGCTCATTTTAGACACACCCTCTACTAGAATAGGGAAACAAATATGAAAAAAAAGAATGACCTGTGTTCCCAAGAGTGGAAAAACAGGCACCTCTACTTTCGCTTCTAAAACACATAACAGTATCCATCAAAATGACAATCCACATTCTCTCTGACAAATTCTTTGACAGAATTTTTTAATGTAACTACTCATGTACCTATGAAATAGCATATGTGTTTATTATGTTATTATAAACATATTTATAGTAGCTAGAGATTGAAAACAACCTTCTCCATGCCCTCCAGTAGGGTACCTGTTAAACCGAGGTGCATCCCCACCATGGACTATTATGTAACTGTTTTTAAAAAAATGAGAAGTCTCTTGTGGCCAGAGTCACCAAACCTTTTCTGTAAAGGGCAAATGGCTGGTACCGCTAGCTTTGCAGACCGTGAGGTCTCCGTGGTGATTGCTGGACCCCGTTCAGCAGCGTGACAGCAGCCACAGACAGACAGCACTTAGGTGGGCCGGCGTGGGCGTGTCCCGGTAAAACGGTATTGCAAAGGCAGGAGGCTGGCATGGGGCCTAGGGCTGTAGTTTTCTGACTTTATGGTGGAAAATGGCCTCCAAAATATAGTTTGTCAAAAACTCAGGAGATAGGGCACCACAGAGGACTACCACTGTGTAAAACACGGGGGCGGGTGGAGTCTGTGGGCCTGCTCCTGCAGGCAGGAGATTCCCCTAAAGGGGTGAAGCTGGTAAGACGGTTGCCTCCAAGAAGACCTGGGGGACAGGAGTAGGAAAAACACTTCCAGCTAGTCACCCTTTCCTGCCTTTTGAAGTTGGACTTGTGCATTATCGTCAAAGAATAGCGAACCAAGGTGGTTTTTTCCAGACTGTCTCTGCTTCCTATTCCTTTGGTTCTTAATGTTAACGTAGCACGTGATCGGAACAGCCGGGTTGCCTCGGCTAGTACACAGCCCCACCCCGGGGGGCGTGGCTGTCTCCTCGCAGAGGGTCAGAAGGTAGTTTCCAGTTTGCTCCCAGCTCCAGTGCTGGGCTCTCAGGGATACGGAGAACGACAGCAGGGCTAGGAGAGGAGGGATGGATAGGAGAGAGAGCTCAGAGGGCAGTGCTTTCAGGAGCTTTCAAGACATTCTTTCCTCTTCCGCAGGAAATCCGACGATGACTCTTGGGTGAGCAACGGCACCTACTTGGAACTCAGGAAAGATCTTGGTTTTTCCCAGCTGGACCATCCTGTCTTGTGGTGAAAAATGAAAACCGAGCGATGCGTTCTCGTAATTCTGTGTTGGCTTTCTGAAGCGACAAACCTGTGTCTATATATTTAGAAAATGTTCTCTGGAATGTTCACTTGTGCTTAGCTTGGCGTTTTAAGTGTTCAAGCACTCTATATTTTCTTCTGTAGGGTTCTTTACAATTTCAAGTGTTATGATTGTTTATATAAATGTAGAACACCTTGAAATTTCTTTTTTATATATAAAGTATTTAATAAAAATGAAAGATTCATTGTTAATGCGTGGGTTGCAAAAGAAGCTTTAACACTAATTTTCCAAAGGTTAGGAAAATTCAAGTTGAATTTATGCCTTATAAAATTATGTTGCAGAAAAAAACAATCCATCTCTCCCGGGTGCATTAAGAAACAAGAATGCCCAGGGTGACTCACCCATGAGGACGCTACCCAGGTTCAATTCAGTAGCTCAATCTCTTTTTGCCTCAGACAGCTACTGACTTGCTCAAACAGAGCGATCCTGCGGGTGCTGGATTCTGAAGGACATTTGCATTTGCATTTGCATATGGGTGGTAGAGAGGATGGTGTAAGGTTGGTGGAATGTGTGTTTTTTATACGAGGTGCATATGGTACCTTCTTGAAGAGGAAGCCTTTGAGCTCATCCCTCCCCGTAGTTTTTATTGCCTTATGTGCGGAATTATGCAGGTCATGGCTCAGAGGAATTGTCTTTAATCTGAGAAAAATCCCCATTCATTAAATGTCCAAATGAAATCCCAGAGAGGCAGCGGGAAATTTCTCCTTAGAGCTGAATGCTTGACAAGAAACTCTTTTCTGCTTCCAACACCCCGGCTTCCTGCCCTGTCGGGCCACATCCCTGCCAAGTGTGGAGTGTCCCAGCTTAGAGTAAAACATCCAGCACATTCCATGCACCAGTGTGGCTCTGTACACATTTAGCAAAATAACTGATTGTTTTAAAATACTGTTGTGGTATTTTCTACCTCTTAATAAGCACTGTATTTTAGATCTTGTATAAAAAGTCGGACCATCTGCCTTATAGACATGTGTAGAGAATTGATGTTCTTCCTTTGTGTTGAGCTCTGATAAAGCTTTTGGTGTCTTACCCTTTTCCCACACTTTCTTCTTACTCACGTCCCTCTCTTGTGGGTCTTGCAGCCGCCCTGCATTTTACAGATGATAACTGCCGGAAGGGGAAGCTTCGTCTTTGTAAATGTGTCATTTCAAGTGACGAGAATGGAGTCTGTGCAGCAGTTAAATTGTGCTACCGAAAGCAGTTCCAGCTTCTGCCCAGATTACATTAAAACCAAAGCCTAATTTTTTAAGCCTTTTACTCTGATGTCCATAATAACTCTATGGAGTGTGAAATAAAATGGTGTGGTATAAAAGATTGCTCCCAAAAATATTTTTTAGATATTTACCTAACTTCAGAGCCCGTAGAATGCGCTGAAGAGCAAAGCAGGATAAATACCAGAAAAAGGAATGCCTGCTTTGTCAGTGTCACACCGAGGAACCAGTGGGACGACGCCAGGTTTCCAAAGTGGAGAGGAGTCTGCAAGTGACCAGCATTTTAAAACAGTAAACTCATCAGATGTCGCACTCATCCATCCCTTTCATCACGATGTCATGGTGAACACAATGTGAAGAGCATTTCCATTTCCGAGCCGTTAAATGACCCAGTCACCGTCTGCGGTGGGCGCTTTGTTCTTCTCTTTTCAAGCATGGGTCCAGACTCCACCCCCAGACGGGCAGGAGCAGGCTGTCGACTTCAGGGTACTCAAGGGGAAAACAAATCTGGTTTTCACAAAGTGAAGATAAAAGTTGAATTTTAGTAATATGGACTATTAAGTAGGTCTGCTCTAGAAGTTGGTTCCAAAAAAGAAAAAAAAAAAACTGGACGGATGTAGCTTTGTCCTGCAGTATTTGTAAATTCTTTGTCTCGATGCTCTTATTTCAACTGATACTGTGTTGTGTTTCGGAATCACAGGATGAATGGACCAAATATCATCTTTGTAGTCATCTTATTTGAGATGGCGAGGGGGAGGAGTTAGAACGTGATACAGAACTGTATGCAAATTTTAAAATCCACTAGTCTGTGCCAGTATCTCGAAAGGGTTTTTCGGACATTTGAACTTTGGGGATGCATCCTGACACTGTCACCTTAAAGCCGCCTTGAGTAGGACGTGGCTTCCTTATTTCCTTTCAGTCCCTGTTTCTCAAAAGCACTTTGCCACCTAATTCGTAGCTTGGTGTCTTTGTTTTTGTTTTTTTTTTTTAAATTAAGATGAAGAAACCAAACATGGGGTAGAATTGAGGTAAAATTCCAGTGTTCTGGACTCCAGATCTCCTGATTAAATAATGCCAATCCCTGCACCATTGAAGACACTTGCCATAACCAGCCTTTTAGTTCCAATTCTGTCCCAAATGTATCGTGAATTGCACAGATATCCTTGGAAATGGGACTTGGTACAGCCCACCACATGGCACTCAGCTGTTCCTGTGGCCGCTGTTGACTCCCCTCAGCGGGGAGGGGAGGTCCCCCAGCTGACCTGCTGGAGGTCCATTCGGGGAGGAGCCTACAGTCTGCAGTGCAGCTGGGCAGCCCATCGCTTTGGTCCCCAGGCCCCAAAGCCGAGGTCAGCACTTCCCTGAGTCAGATGTACCCACAAAGCCTCACGGCAGCTGCCCTGTGCACGTCAGCCCCTGGGACCCAGGCTGGTCCTGGTATGCATGGAGCAGCAGGCCGGCTACCTACCAAGTCCCCAGGATGCCCCCCTGGGGGACTCTGAAGCAGAGAAATGTACACAAACCAATGTTTAAAATGTTGTCTTTATCCAGGCTGCTGCTTTTCTCATACTCCTAGTTACTTCTCACGCATCATTGGCTTAGGCTTTGAGCACTGCCCTTCACCTGTGTTTTCCAGGTTTATGATGAGTGGTCTCGTTCTGCTATGAACAGTGTCCATTGTAAAAGAAAAATGATAAACTACAAAGTTTGTATTTGGCTATTGAGCCTTGTCGTAGGTCAGCTGCACATTCTATTAATTCCATATGCCTTCCAGCTCTCCCAGAATTTCCTCAGACCCTTGAGTTATGCGTAGGAGCAATAAGAAGCTGTTCTTATGACCCTAGGTAGTTCCAGTGTATTGGCATAATTTATTTGAATGTCTTTAATTTTGATATTAACATCGGCATATATCTATTTTTGCTACCAGATGATAGCTATTTTCATGTACTCAGTTTTCCTCTGCACTGTGTTAATCTGCTACTCAATGTTAGCCATTGTTTCTCTGCATTGACACAATGTATCACACAACTCTGCAAATCACAACGGTCTGGAACACGAAGCATTGTTGGAGACTTTGGTTTGGGGGGATGTGATGAATAGAAGTCGCTGGTTTATGGTATTCTTGATGATTCGTGATCTTCCTCTGGGACCCTCAGAGGATACTATTTTTTTAATGGATATTTGTAAATCTTCCATCTAGCTGTTTATAAGATTGTGTTCTGTTTAAATCCTACCCTTCAACTCACCCCCTGTGCCTCCCCCCAAAACTCCAACTACTTTGTCCCCCTCATGTAGCCAGTTGACTGAATAAATCACGTGGAAAAGGCCGTCTCTGTCTGGTCTCCCGGGTGGGGGTGCCTGTGGGGCTGCTGAGAGGGGACAGAGCGAGGCTCTGGCCTTGGCTCTTCCGAGGAGGACGCACCAGGTTGCCTGCAGGGACGGGGGCTGAAAACAAGGCTCTCCTGGGGCTTAAGGAAACCTGGGGCACACACTGGCCCTGCCTTTGGCCCCAACATTTCCAAGCTGCACTGCAAATGCAGGTCCCCCAGCTCTTAGCCCTGGGGACCTGGGACAGCTGGCGCCCCGGCCCTTTACCTCAGGGCACTATGGAAATAGCCTCATTTTCTGTGTGTCCTCACGTGCAAAAGGAAAACGATGACTATTCATACCAATTTCACGGCCCCTCCGAGTGGCCGACTCATCTCCCCGCACAACCAAGCACGTTCTGTGCGATGTCAGGAACGCCCTTAGCTTCCCCTGAGGTCCCCCCGGACGCAGTGGGTATGTTGGTGGTGTCCCGCGTTGTACAACGCACTGAGAGCAGCATCACACACGTGGAGTCACGTCTCTGCATCCCTGGAAACACGAAGGAGGCGACCCAGAGCAGCTCATGAAACTCAGCTGGCTTCAAAGAAAGGAAAAAACAAGCTATTGAAAGACATTTGCAGGATATTGGTGAAAGTCGCACATAAACATAATGAAGTTACTGATAATTTTCATGTATGTGATGTGTATTGCCTGTTGTTAGGAGCTGAATCTGCTGTCAAAGGAGGAACATTCTCCAGTGTTATTCAAGATAATGTGTCACGAACACTAAAGGAAACCTTAAAAGGCAGCCTCAGCATGCTTTACCATGTGGGCCACCATCATAGGGGTAGGTTTTAAAGCATCCTTACGTGTCATCTTTGAGGAGGCAATGCCGTTCGGATGGACAAGTTCCAGGCCCTTGGTTTACAAACGTAGTCATATTATCTGCTGGTCATGCCGACAGAATACCAGCACTAGCACAGCTGATGTCCATCAGTGGCCAGCAAATCAGGGCGACACCATCTTAGGAGACACACCAGTCAAGGGCGTCTTACTATGCATGTATTATTTGGGATTCCCTGCAGGAGATTCCAACATCCACTGTAGTTCAAGAGACTTCAGTGAAGGGGCCCCTAGGCAGCTGAGATAGTAGCAGGTTTAAGGCTCAGCAGCAGCAGCTAGAAGTGCTTGCAGCCCAGCAGGGGCTGGAGCTCTGAGGAGGGAGCAGCCAGCACCAGGGGCTGAGGGACTTGTGGCCTCTGCCGGAGAGTCCAGGCCAGAGGGAGTAAGAACTACCCCAATGGCTGCCTCTTCTGGCCCCTCCCTGAACCCAGTGAGTCGGAGTGGCCCCACCCCGCCCCAGTGCAGTTCTCAGAGCTCAGACCTCAGGCAGGGGGAGGGTCCAGGAAAAACCAGCACCTGGACCTTATATTCACTAGGTTAGTTCATGTCTGAGCTTTCAGAAAAATTCTCGGCAAGTAAATAGACATAAGAACCTCTTTTGCTTTTGGGGAGGGGGGAAGGATAGAATTTGTTAAATAATTTTGGCTTCCAGTTATTTTACCAAGGATGAATTATAATTAACTGTGCATTTTAGAAACTCTTTGGTTCTCCATATTATTGTTGAAACATTTTTAATGAGCTAAGAGCAGCCTCTCTTCTTTATTAAATGTCAT